CTTTCAAAATCCCTTTGCCAGTTTTCCTGTTTCTTGGCAGAATGGGATTGGACTGCATGGCCCACCAGGTCTTTTCCAACTCTATGATTCTATGAATACATGCATCCTACACCCCACAACCCAAATTTGGATAATGCCTGAAGTGATGAAATGAATACCAATGTTCTTGACAATCATCTTGTAATGATTACTTAGGTAAAAGGTAAAGGTTTTCCCCTGACATTAAGTCCAGTCATGTCTGACTCTGGGGGTTGGTGCTCATCTCCATTTCTAAGCCGAAGAGCTGGCGTTGTCTGTAGACACCTCCAAAGTCATGTGGCCAGCATGACTGCATGATTACTTATCTCGATAGATAGATAGATAGATAGATAGATAGATAGATAGATAGATAGATAGATAGATAGATAGATAGATAGATAGATAGAGAGAGAGAGAGAGATACACACACACACACATATATATAAGTCAAGAGCAGGTTTTGGAGCCAAAATTTGAGAAATAAAAGTCTAGGTACAATACACATTCATCTGTGGATAAGTGGACCCAGGTTCTTTTTAAGGTTTTGTGTGTATAGTACATGGAATTCAAACCAACAACCCCACCACAGACATGAACTACCTGAAGAACCACTGGACATGTGTCTGTAAGCAAACTATATCCAGCAAGCCTAACGTTTGTTCGTCCCATTATTAGACCACTTTCAGAGAGCTTTCCAGACTGCGAATACACACCCCTCTCCTTCCTGACTGCTGCAGGGAAGAAAGAAAAGAGACAGAGAGATCAATGAAGCTGCAAGCTCCTTGGAGACGTTCACAGAAATGCATTTATTTTTCACCACTGGGATTATGAAATCAGAGCAGCTGAATTCAGTGCGTACAAAGGAATCCAGCACCCCTTCGAGAACCTACTCAAAGGATAGAGGCCCATCTAGCTAATCACTAGTCAAAGGGGAGAGAGAATCCCAAGTGGGAACACAGTGCAGCGATACTGTAGAAACAGAGAGGTTCAAACAAAAGGAAAACAGAGAAGCCTACAATGTTAAAAAAAGAAACAAAACAAAATTAAAATGCCTCAGGAAGATCAATGACCACATCTTTGAGAAGTACTTTGGGTCTCAAATTTGTACTCAGATGCCAATATGAATGTGAAATCTGTGCAGATTACAGTATACTATGACATCACACAGATACTCGTTGCATCTGCACAATCAGAACGGTTTTGCTGAGAAACTGCAGTGTATTGTCGAAGGCTATCATGACCAGAATTGCTGGGTTGTTGTGTGTTTTCTGTGCTGTATAGCCATGCTCCAGAAGCATTCTCTCCTGACGTTTTGCTTGCATCTATGGCAGGCATCCTCAGAGGTTGTGAAGTCTGTTGGAATCTAGGAAAATGGGGTGTATGTGTGTGTGTGTATCTATCTACCGGTGGCCCCTCGGTTGTGGAATGCCCTCCCCAGGGACATTAGATGAGCCCCCACCCTCTTAACATTTCGCAAAAAAGTTAAAACTTGGCTATATGAGCAGGCTTTCCCAAACGCAGTGTAGCTATGAAACTCTGATCTCGGAACGGTTGGACAACATGACTGGACAATGACTGATTAATGAAATGCGGCGTATTATGTTTTTTTTTTTTGTTTATTGATGTTAATTGTAATGAATTGTTTAAATCTGCGTTAAATGTTTTTAATGTTTAAACTATTTTTGTACTGTTGTGGCCATCGAATTGTGCAGTTTTGTAAACCATGAGTCACCCGCGGACTGAGAATGGCGGTATAGAAGCGTAGTAAAAAAAATAAATTATCTATCTATCTATCTGTGGAATGTCCAGGGTATGAGAAAGAACTCTTATCTGTTTGAGGTAGATGTGAATGTAGCAAGCATGTGGACAATTTCAACAGAAAGGAAGAAACCATGAAAATGAACAAAATCTGACTACCAGAATTTAAAAAACTCCAAAATCTGGACAGTAAATAAACAACACTCAAAAACAGGAGAATTCCACACAAGAAACAATCAGGGCCAGCTAATCACCTCCCAACAAAGGATTCACCCAGGCAGTAAGAAGCCAGACCTTGAAAACTGCTAGGCCATGAAATGCTAATCAAGGTGGCCAATTGCTACATTCACACCTACCTCAAACAGACAAGAGTTCTTTCTCCCACCCTGAACACCATTCCAGCGATATATAAACCCTATTTTTTCTAGTTTCCAACAGACCTCACTACATCTGAGGACGCTTGCCATAGATGCAGGTGAAACGTCAGGAGAGAATGCCTCTAGAACATGGCCATATAGCCCGAAAAAACCTACAACCACCCAAACTGCAGACAATGGTTATGTGCACATGCATGCAGAAGAAATACATTGCACTACATGCAACACCCAGACTTTCAAAATCCCTCTGCCAGACTGCTTCTCAAACAGGAACTGGGGACTCGCAAGGCAGCTTGGAAGAGGCGGCATTCAAGTACAGCATCACTGTTTGAAGGTAAGTGACTGGGAAGGTGCTGAAACAGAAGTGTAGTTCATCTGGCAGTTGTATGGATTTGATACATTTGGACTCACAATTAAAAACATCTCTGGGTCCATTCTTTTGCTATCTGCTCTGATCTGTCTACACTGCCCTATGGCCCTGCCAGGTCACTTTTAGACATTATACCACCTCACTGCACCAACAAGTAATCATAAGCAGGGCTGCAAGCTGGGACCCAATGAAGGAGCTGCACAACTGCTTTGTCACAAAGGCTAAAGCCAGTCAAAAATGCTTAAGTACAATATCTTGTAGTGTATGGCAAAAATACTGTTGTTTTAACCAGACTCTTATATTCATCTTTGCCAGTCTTGACAACTTGCAAAATCTCTAGAACCAGATTTAAATTTCGGTGTAAACAACCTAAGATTTCCTGTTCACCTGCAGCCTTGGCCTTTGAATAGGCATGAGCACGACACCTGTTGGTATATCACATGTATTCCCCCACATGGTTTGATGTTGTCTATCTATTGCTAAGCAATATAATAATAATAAACTTTATTTATACCCCGCCACCATCTCCCTGATGGGGACTCGGTGAGGCTTACATGAGGCCAAACCCGAACAACAATTACAATAAAGGAAAACCAAAACACAAGATAAAGAAAAACCAAGACAATATGTTCTACATGGAATCTAAAACACATAATATAAGAATCCAAGTCGGGGGAAAGGAGGAGGTGTTTCCAAAATCTTTGCTCCTCTTGCTCCTGCCGCCAGCTTTGAGATTTGGCAACACTTGTACAGTTGCAAAATGTGAGGAAAGCACTTTTTAATTGACTCAAACACAAGTTGAAACTATTGCTACAGTAGGAAAAAAACTGGCGTTGATCACTAGGTCTGAGACGTGTCTGGCCATCCTGGAGTTCTTTTTGGCAAGTCACAGTAAAAGAGGAAGAACAGAGAAAAGGATCAAGGAGCAGGGCTGGGGGATGGTTTCTCAGCTCACTGACCTCCACCTATTATTTCTATAAGATCCAGAAGCTCTATTTAGGGGAGGGAGTGTGGCAGCCTGTGGATCAATTGATGACACATTGTAGGCCATTCACTTTGATGTAAGACCTTTGACTTCTAATCAGCCAAGAGCTTATTTATTGGCTTCCTACAGCTCCAAATGACTGAATGTGGTCAAGACACCAAGAGGACCTGCTGCACCACAAGTATGGGCTATAGCAACACTGGTGACATTGCATCTCCTTAGCACACCACAAAGCACTTAGTTCTCCTGTGTGTGCATACACACTAAAGAGGACAGAAGGGACAAAGATTAACATGAGAAAAACAGTGGAAGTGAGAGGACAGACCAGTCTAAACGTTAATGTTAACAAGAAGGGAATGAGAGGGACTTCCCTTTGTATGGTCAAAATCACAGGCCACAATTATATAAGTTTAGAGGTGGAAGACTAATGGAAGACAATTATTTACTGCTTCTAAATTATGCAGAATAGAACAATGTGCACCTAGACCAGCGTTTCTCAACCTTGGGGCTGGGACACCTGGGAGGGTTGCAAGGGGGGTGTCAGATGGGTTGCCAAAGACCACCAGAATAGACAGTATTTTCCATTGGTCATGGGGGTTCTGTGTGAGAAGTTTGGCCCCAATTCTATCATTGGTGGGGTTCAGAATGCTCTTTGATTGTAGATGAATTATAAATGCCAGCAACGACAAATCCCAAATGTCAAGGTCTGTTTTCCCAAAAATCCACCAACATTCACAATTGAGCATATTGAGTATTTGTGCCAAGTTTGGTCCAGATCCATCACTGTTGGAGTCCACAGTGCTCTCTGGATGTAGGTGAACTACAACTCCAACACCCAAGGTCAATGCCCAACAAACCCTTCCAATATTTCCTGTTGCTCATGGGAGCTCTGTGTGCAAAGTTTGGTTCACTTCCATCGTTGGTGAAGTTCAGAATGCTCTTTGATTGTAGATAACTATAAATCACAGCAACTACAACTCCCAAATGACAAAATCACACCCCACCCCCCTGCAAACCCCACCAGTATTCAAATTTGGGTGTATCGGGTATTTGTGCCAAGTTTGGTCCAGGGAATGAAAATACATCCTGCATATCAGATATTTACATTACGATTCATAACAGTAGCAAAATTACAGTTATGAAGTAGCAACGAAAATAATTTCCACAATATGAGGAACTGTATTAAGGGGTTGCAGCATTAGGCAGGTTGAGAGCCACTGATCTAGAACCAGTTACCTTTTTATAGAACTTCATACTCATAGGAGAGATTCTAGCATCAGTTACCTGGGTGAGAGAAATCAGATGTTGCTTCTAGAGCAGTGGTTCTCAGCCTGTGGGTCCCCAGGTGTTTTGGCCTACAACTCCCAGAAATCCCAGCCAGTTTACCAGCTGTTAGGATTTCTGGGAGTTGAAGGCCAAAACATCTGGGGACCCACAGGTTGAGAACCACTGTTCTAGAGTCTTCCAAGGCACAATGTAGCATAATGCTGTGTTTTAAAAGCCAGATAGTTTAATTAAGAAGTTAGTCTCTCTCACTCCTTCACACAGGAGAATTTTGAGAAATATGTTATCTATACAGGGAACTTTATTATCTTTACAGAGCACAGTTGTCTCAATGGCAGCTGTCAGAAAGCCTGGACTTATGACAATTTCAGCTGAGGAAAGGGGAAGAATTAAGAAAATCCAGCTGATCCTAGAGAAATGATAAGATATATTTTATAAGATATATATTTAAAACCTATGCAACAAGAAAGGCAATACAACAGCATGAACCCATTAGAGCACTGAAGGATAAGCAATAAAATGAGTCCCATATTGGGTACAATGCCAACTCTGCCAAGTATAATGAGGTCATTCATGAATGTAAAGGCTACCACAATAGAGGTACCCAATTTTTGGGAAAGTGCTGCACCCAAGAAAGTTGCAATTTCCCACTTCTTAGAAAAAGTGCAAGCCAACGCAAGACTGTATCCAACCCACCCACTCACAATGGCAATCAAGAACCTTTCCCTGAGAGATTAGGGAACCTCACAACCAACTCCAGTATGTACCACAGGAGAACAAAGCCCTTGCACATCCAGCAAACCCCAGGTCTTTATAGTGTATTTCCACATGGGACTCTTCAGTCATGAGGGCGCTTCGGCAAAAGGAAAGTGCAAGAGTTTCCCCCTCCTCCTCCTTGGACATTCAAAGGGAAGAACTATGGAAGAAAGGAAATGTCCCACAGGATCAAGGGGCAATGGATATTTGGACAAACAGGTAGATATCTTTCACAAGGGCTCCCAAGCTCTAGGCGCTTCTCCCATGAAAAAGCCACCATTTTTGACACTTTAAAAAGGGATGGAAAGGCTGGTGTCATCCATCATCGTAAGTGAAGAGTCAGGCTGACTATTATGATAATTCCCAAAAAGAGGATGAACGGAAGCCAGGTCTTCACAAAGCCTCCTATGCTGTAAGAGAGTGTAGAAAAAAGAATAAGAAAACAGTTTTAGCAGAGGCGCTCTCACATACTTGTCTTTCTTTCATCACATGTCTGTGGCCTGAAATGAGAAGCTGCTGCACTGTCCATTTCTACCTGCCATCCACCATATAAAAGGAGGAGCGAGAAGCATTACTGTTCGCCCATTTGGCTTTGGACATGTAGGGAACTCTAGTCTGAATTAATGATGCAGCATAGGAAATGTGCTGCCTACAGTAGGCTTGGACCCAAGCCTACTGTAGTTTTCGGTGGGCTGTTTTGTATGATATCTGAAAACAGAATGGGGAGGAGGGAGAGATAAAGTCCTGCAAAACGGATTCAGAGAGCCGGATTTCTTTTTTTCTGGAGAGGAAAGAGTTAAGTCCACAATATACCTGAGGCAGGGATCTGCCAGGTCATCTCATTTTCTCTCCCTGGCAGAAGCAGCCTCCGTCCATTTGTTCTTGGAGAGTTCCCTCCTCCTCCAGAGATGGCCCTGGGGACTCACTTTCCCAGCATTACGTGCATAGGGTGGCCACTGAAAAGTTCCTCTCGGAACACGGTGGGAATTGAAGTTTTTCTCTCTTTCTGTTTCTTGGCTAATAAAAAGCCTGATGGTGTCCATGCTCTGATTGGCTGAGAATGGATACAACCAGCGACTACAGCTCCCAGAACCCTCTCTTGCAGTTGGTCTTATTTTAAAAAATGTTATGGTTAAAATTATTATTATTATTTGTACCCCGCTAGCATCTCCCGCAGGACTCGATGCGGCTTACAAAGGCCAAGGCCTCAACACAACAACAGCAAAACAATAACAGTACAATTAAAGCAAAATAAAACATAAGCAATAAAAAAACAATACATCAATTACGCAGTAAAACCAGGGCCGGGCCAGTGGTGGGTACAAGTTAAAAAGTGCTGGGTGTGGCAGGTGGTATTTGGATTTCCTGGCAAGTGCAATGTGCAGAGAGTCTTAACTCTAATAAAGTGCTACTGGGACGTAGTGCTGGAGATTATCCTATTCCGGAAAGGCACATTGGAATAGCCAAGTCTTCATATTCTTCCTTAAAATAATTCAAAAAATAAGTAGAATGGTGAATTGTATTGTCGAAGGCTTTCATGGCTGGAATCACTGGGTTGTTGTAGGCTTTTTGGGCTATATGGTCATGTTCTAGAGGCATTCTCTCCTGACGTTTCGCCTGCATCTATGGCAAGCATCCTCAGAGGTTGTGAGGTCTGTTGGAACTAGGAATATTGGGTTTATATATCTGTGGAATGTACAGGGTGGGACAAAGAACTCTTGTCTGTTGAAGCTAGGTGTGAATGTTTCATCTGGCCACCTTGATTAGCATTTGATGACCTGGCAGTTTTTTGGTGTGGCTTGTTAGTGTCTGGGGAAATCTTTTGTTGAGAGGTGATTAGCTGTCCCTGATTGTTTCCTCTCTGGAGTTTCCCTGTGTTTGTGTGTTGTTTTGCTGTTATAATTTTAAAGTTTTTTAATACTGGTAGCCAGAAATCCATAAGCATGTGGACAATTTCGACAGAAAGGGGGAAACCATGAAAATGAACAAAATCTGGCCCTCAATGAAAATGAGCTTGACACTCCTTATCTAAGGTAACACATTCTTCACAACAGTATGCATTTGACAATAGTGGTGAAAAGATCCAACTCGGAAGGTATACAACAAGCATAATCAGCCGTTGACATCTGAAACATTTTCAGTTCTATATACGGAGCATATAATCAGTGAAAAATTGCACACCATGAGAAGTGTCATGGAGAAACAAGCTCTAGTCCACACACACACACACCAGTTGTGTTTCTACTCACCTTACATACTTTCCATATAACAAGGAAAAGAAGCAAAGTTTAACCATGTTCCAAGAAGTGCTGTTGTCATATCGCATGAGATTTAAGGCCAAGGCGACATGTGAGTGGCAGTTGTCACAGCAGAGATTGTGCTGAGGGAGAAGGTATAAAATTGAGTACATTTCTATCTCAAATCGCTAACTGACCACATTTGTATCTCAAGTCCCCTTGGGGAGATAGAGTGGCTATAAATAAAGTTTTTATAGCCCAAGTCCCTTTTGGGAGATGGTGGTGGGATATAAAGTTGTTGTTGTTATTATTATTATTATCATCATTATTATTAAACACTATGGCTGATCTCTCTGCATATCTGTTTGAAATTATCCCTGTTCTGCAAAATCGGGAAAGGTGCATGTGGCCCTTGAGATAATGCTGGAGTCCAATTTCCTTCAGCCATAGCTAGCCCCATCAATTGTGATGGATTAAAGGATTTATGTCCAACACCATGTCGACAAACAAGAATTCCACATCCCTTGTATAAAAATTTATGCCACTTGCTCAGATATATAGCATATTTTGGTTATGTTCTGTTGTTATGAGATAAAAGGTAAAGGTTGTCCCCTGACATTAGGTCCAGTCATGTCTGACTCTGGGGTGTGGTGCTCATCTCCATTTCTAAGCCAAAGAGCCAGCGTTGTCCATAGACACCTCCAAGGTCATGTGGCCAGTATGACTGCATGGAGCACCGTTACCTTCCCGCCGGAGCGGTATCTATTGATCTACTCACATTTGCATGTTTTCGAACTGCTAGGTTGGCAGAAGCTAGGGCTGACAGCGGAAGCTCACGCCGCTCCCTGGAATCGAACCTGCGACCTTTTGGTCAACAAGCTCAGCAGCTGAGTGCTTTAACCCACTGCACCACCAGGGGGCCCTTGTTATGAGATACACCCAAATATTTTACCCCCACTTACGCACTCTTCTATCTTTGATTTTATAGTTTTAAGATCAATATGAGAAATAAGTGGCAACTAGTTTTTATATTTAAGGAAGTCACGTTGTTCAGACAGTTTTGTTCCATTTCATTATATAATCCCACATGCTTATTGTAGTGTACTGCCTCAGTGCCTGTTATGTAGCAGAAATCAGCTGAGTGACCTTTTTCTCAATCAATAACAATACCTGTTATTCTTTTTCCATAATAAAGTGCATCGCTACATCGTCATTCTTGCTGACCCCGCTTAACCGTTTTTCCTTTATATTTAGAATGTCAACACCGTAATCCAGCTTTTAAAAATATAGTGGGAGTGCTGAAGCATACAGGCAACACCCTCGACTCCAATGGCAGTGAGGCCTCAAGAAACATGCACAATATAACTGTTCTGGGCTAGAGGTTCATTCTTGCTATGTTATAATTTTGGCAATTGTTTCAAGCTTATATACAGAGCTTCTGATCAATTCCTGCCTGCAAAAATGACAGAAAAATCCTGGAAAACTTAGTCACTGCACCAAATCAGGCCATACAGGAAATATATTTTCCTGTAACCAGCAATTGGCCGTCTGCAAGAATGTTGCCCAGGGGACACTCGGATGTTTTGATGTTTTCCATCCTTGTGGGAGGCTTCTCTCATGTCCCCGCTTGGGGAGATGGAGTTGTTGGTCTTCTAATGCCATTCAAAACACCAGACATTCTCATTAACAGTCTTCCCATTTGATTTTGTTTTAGACCCCAAAATAGTTAGATTCATGGATGACAATTCCTAAAGATTCATAACAAGTAGATAGGAAATCCTAGATTTGGGTCTTCTGGATCAAAGCAAGTACCGTATATTTTTCTCAAAAGTCAGGGGTCATCTTATACGTGGGAGTCGTCTTATACGCGGGAGTAGTCATATACACAGGGACCGTCTTCTATGCTGGGGTAGCCTTATGCATGTGAGTCGTCTTATATGCGGGGGTAGTCTTATACGCCGGGAGTCTTACAGAGCGGGTACTGAAAATTCCAATCCAGATTGGAGAATCTGAGGTTGTTGCATATTGTGGGGGGAGCTCAAAAATGGCAGTGGCCATGTCCCTGCCATATGCAGCAACTGTATGAAAGCATACAGGGCGACGCTGTACAAGTATGGAAAAAGAAAATCCATTCATCAGGATTCATGGACTTAATGCCGTCCCAATGGTGAGGTGAAGGGGCGCCTCACCGGGAAGGTGTAAGTGAAGGGCGGAGCAAGCTGCAGGCGTCTGGGGCACCCGGGGTATGGAAAAAAAAAAAGAGATAGAGTGCTCTGGGCCCAGAAAAACACACCTCTTTTACCTGTCTGGCCCGCCCTTGTATCCTATTACCATACCTCCTTCTCTGCCTCTCAGATCTTGCTCCTGAAAACTGCAGTGAAGCGGTGCAGGTGCACATGTGCAAGATCTGAGAGGCAGAGAAGGAGGTACAGTAATAGGAAAATTACCATATTGAAATCAAATCTGATGCTTTTAAAATTTTTATTTGGTATGTGTTGGAAGAGGGGTATACGGTGAGTATATCCCAAACTTTATATTTTGACTGGAAAAGTTGGGGGTCGTCTTATACGCCCAGTCGTCTTATATGTCGGAATATACGGTACTTGCAAGATAATCTTTCATAAGAATCAACCAGAATATTGCAAGAGGAGAAATGCATATCAGCATAGAATTAACACCTGAAAATAAACTCTTGTGCTTACTGCTCAGCCATAAAGCTAGGTTGACAAAGTTATGTTTACATTCCTCTGCCTCACGCAATTTGCATGTAATGATAAAGACAAATAAAATCAAAGTTTTAAACAAATGCCCTTGAAGATCTCCTATGTCTTATTTATCAGGTATTCATTTTTCATGTAAAAAAACCTTCAACTATTAAAATTGGTGGTCAGTGTTAAAAAACAAAGAGTTCTATCAAGAAAAACAGGCTGACACTCCCAAACAATTTCATTGTTTTACATTGTATTCACTGTATTACAAGAACGGTCAGACACAGTGATCATGTGGCCCTCCAGATACTGATGGATTGCAACTCCCCAAATCCTTCAGTGATGGGAGTATAGCTTAGGTCTGACAAGAGCCGGAGGCTCCCTATAACGTGCCCCTCCCTATAACGTGGGATTTTCACAATTAGAAACAGAAGATTTATCTACTGATTTTTACTATCTGGCAGGCAAGTTGATATTTGCACATGTCTGTTGACTAGAGATAAGACCATCCTTCTATGCAACCCTTTCAAAATTTAGGGCAAGGATCTTGACTTGCATCTTTTGAATCCTGTTGAATCTCCCACAACTGTCTAAATATGCTTTACAACCCAAGGCTTTAATATCTCTTTGTACTGCATCTGAATAAGTGGGTTTATATCCATGAAAGCTCATGCTAAAATAAAAACAAGTCTTAAAGGTGCTGCTACATCCCCTCCTCCCCCGTTAAGAGAATATTTTTTATTTTACTGCTACATATGTATATGCACTCCAAGCTAAGTGAAGTCACCTCACCATACGGTGCTTGTACTCCTCAGAAGCATCATGCACCGCAGTATCCCAGGCATTAGGACCACAAGTATATACTTTGCTGGGATCCAGCTTCCAGTATCTGAGAAAATAAAAAAATAAAAAAGAGCACAATAAGTACACAAAACTGAGTTGGATGAACCAGTAGTCTGAATCAGTACAACTATTTCTGACAATGTATGACATTTTCCATAAATGTTGGATTACAACATTCATCACTGCCTTTCTAGCTGAGGATGAGGTACAGTCTTAACACCTTTATAAATGGACAGAGCAGATGGAGACAGAAGTGAATGATGCACAATTCTTAAGATTTTCAACCTGAGAACTCAAAAGGAAGACAGAGGCCTACCGAGGAAAACATCTCCTGAAAAGTCCATTGACTAATAATAATAAGTCCCTCTTCGGAAGCAAGAAGGACGGGATAGAAATGTTTATAATAGTAATAGCAATAATAGCAATAAACAATAACCCACCTCCATCTCCTAAAAAGGGACTCGTGGGAGATATAAAGGCACATCAACAGTACATAAAAGTTATAAATACCCACTATCAACAAATAAAATAAAATTCACAATTTAAAAACACTTCCTATCAATGGTCAAAACTAGCAGCCATCAATACACCACTAAGGTGCCAAAGTGTCAACCTAATATAGGCCCATTTCAGCCTACTTGAGGCCAAAGGCCTTTTTAAAAATCCATATTATGAGGCTAGAATGGAAGGATTCATGGGTAGGAGCTAATCTAATTTCTTTTGGGAAGGTATTCCAGAGTCGGGGAGTCCCTACAGAGAAGGCTCTCTCTCTAGTTCCCTCCAACCACACTTGAGATGGTGGTGGTACTGAGAGAAGGGCCTCCCCTGCTGATCTCAAAGCCTGAACCGATTCATAGAAAGAGATGCGGTCTCGAAGACAGGCTGGACCCAAAGCATATAGGTAATAACCTGCATCTTGAATTGAGCCCAAAAAATTGTCGGAAGTCAGTGTAGCTGCTTTAATAAGGGCATAGTATGTTTCCTATAGCTAGTTCCAGTTAGTAATCTGGCAGCCGACCTTTACACTAACTGCAATTTTTGAACCATCTTCAAAGGCAGCCCCTCATAGAGTCCATTCTAGATGTAACTAAGGCATGGACCACCATGGCCAAGTCAGGCTTTTTGAGGTACAGTCACTGCCGGCGCACAAGTTTTAACTGTGCAAAGGCCCTCCTGGCCACCACCGACACCTGAGCTTCAAGCGTCAATGAAGAGTCCAGGAGGACCCCCAGACTGCGGACCTCTGTCTTCAGGGGGAGTGTAACCCCATCGAGCATAGGTTGACACCCTCTGCCCCAATTGGCCTCACGATTGACCAGGAGGACCTGTCTTGTCTGGATTAAGTCTCAAGTTTATTGGCCCTCATCCAGTCCATCACAGCTGTCAGATACTGGTCCAGGATCCGGGAAGCTTCCTTGGATTGAGGTGGAAAGGAGTAGTAGAGTTGTGTGTCATCTATGTAGAGATGGAACCCAACTCCATAACTCTAGATTACCTCACCCAACTGTTTCATGTAAATATTAAAAGGCATGGGGGAAAGAATGGAATCTTGTGGCACCCCACAGGTCAAAGGCCAGGGATCTAATCCACATCTGGGTGCGATCTTCCAGGAAGGAGTGGAGTCACTGCAACACAGTGCCCTCAAAACCCATTCTGGAGAGCCAACCCAGAAGGATACCATGGTCGATGGTATCGAAAGCCACTGAAAGGTCCAGGAGAATCAGGAGCGACACACTCCCCGTGTCTAGTTCTCTGCTGTTTCAAACTTCCCATCCATTCAAATTTTCTCCAAAGAAAAGAAAGGGATAGTATGTACTCCTCAATTATTTTAATGCAGCATCAGTTTTCAAATGAAAAGAAAGAAAATTTAAGCAACAAAATGATAAGGCAGGCCATGAAACTTTAAGAGGCACACTAAACATCCTTCCTCTATGGGGTCCAGATACAGAATCTCCCCTCCTTGCCAAAAACAGAACTGAATTTTGAACATTTTGTCAGTTTTTGTCAGACTCTACAGTGATACATTCTCTTCAAAACCGTAAGACAATCACAGCAGTATACAATATTGTGATTACACTGGAAGGTCAGACAGCTATGAGTTTGCTCCTTACAAAGAGATTTAATCTTGCACACCCATTAGAAAGTATAGACTCCCTCTCTCTATTAAATTAAATATTTGCATACAGGTGTTAAAACTTTTATCCTCAGGAAAATCTACTTGCAAATGACTGTATTAGGACAGGTTATTTCTTTAGTGATTTCCCTCCTTTCTCATAAATGGGGCCAAAGATGGCTCACGCATGAATTAAAACAAGCTCCATAAATTAAAAATGAACAGTAAAAATTAACATCCAATTAAATAAGTATGAATACATTAAATTAATTCACTTAAATCAGGTAAGATAAGAAATACTTACTTCACAGGCTTCCCAAATGCCATATTGTCTTCCTAGGGTAATAAGAATGAAAATAAAAAGTAGCATTCAGTATGTTAGCACCACAAACATGAAGTGGTTCATATCATTTCACTTTTTAAATTTTTTATTTCAAAAAAATTATACATAACCATATTTTTTTCCTTTTTCATTCCCTTCTCCCTCCCCACTCTCACCCCTCCCCTTCCCTGTTGATAAGTTAATCCTTCAGTTTCCCATTTCATGAGCCTTCTTTCCATTCTATCATTTCACATTTAGTAAACTTAAACAAAATTTAAAAACCCACCTCCCACTGAGAACTTTATGTTGTATTCTTCCAATTTTACAAAGAATCTCACAACAGGACTCTTCATATCTGGAGGAGTCAAGACAGCCTTCCTAAACCTGGTAGTCTCCAGTATCAGGTCAAGCCCAACCAGCCAAGGTGGCCTGCTCAGTGAGAGTTGTAAATCAACACATCTGCAAGGCATCAGGTTGAAACAGGCTAATCTAACAGGATTGCAGTACGCCAGCCTGTTTTACACCTTAACTGTAAGTGGGAATACATTAGGAAAATAGTTTCAAGCAGTTCAAGAAAACCCTTTTCATACCATATTTGTCCTACCAGAAGGAACCAAAACTAAGGCTACCTGCTTATTTGGCACAATCTCAGCCAGTTTTTAATAGATATGTCAAGGACTGCCCTCTGAGGTTCTAATGCCCCTGTATAGGTGAGACAAAGACCTACAGCTGGATCATGTCCTAGCATGGCCCTGACAAGATTTTCAGAATTTTCTCCCCTTCTCATGATTCATAACAACAGGGGTTCCTCATGCCATGAAAAAGGAGCCCCTGGTGGCGCAGTGGGTTAAACCCCTGTGCCAGCAGGACTGAAGACCGACAGGTCGCAGGTTCAAATCCGGGGAGAGGAGGATGAGCTCCCTCTATCAACTCCAGCTCCTCATGCGGGGACATGAGAGAAGCCTCCCACAAGGATGATAAAATCATCAAATCATCTGGGTATCCCCTGGGCAACATCCTTGCAGATGGCCAATTCTCTCACACCAGAAGCGACTTGTAGTTTCTCAAGTCGCTCCTGACACGACAAAAAAAAATGCCATGAAAAATAGCATAAGCTTCATTAGCTCTCTCCAAATGTAGATGCTTACTTGGTGAATCAAGAAACAGAATTCCAGATCTGAACAGTGGAGGATCACCTCAAGGGCATGGTTTATGTGTCTGCGATTCACACACAACTAAGTACTCAATTCTTATAAGATCCCAGGCTGACACCAAAGACCCATTATATACAATTGTGTAGTAAAATGTATCTTTTAAATAAAATGGCAAAATCAAGATTTGCTTTTTAGAATGGGGGTGGTATTTTTAAGCCATGTATAGCAGAATCCATGGATACGGGAGGCCAACTGGACTGCAATGAAATTAAACTGTTCAGGAAGGTTCTCAGGCTGCACCAGACTCACAAAATACAGTTTCCCCACTATTATGATTCTTCAAGAACAAGTTCCAACTTACAGAGACGTAGTAAGGCCCTGCAAAGTCACGGATTACTCCAGTTGACGTACATATCCCCATATGACCAATTATGGGGAACAGCCATCTGTGGAAAAAATGAAGAACTTGAGGCATCCCGTCCTCTCCATTTTGAAAACAAAAGGCTGCTTTTAAAAAGATGTGGGAATGGACTGAACCAAATAGCAGCTGGTAAATAAATAGACAAGACAGCAGGGCTTATCTAAGCACAAAACTAGATGTAGCCTGGAGAGATTTTCCATTCAACTTACTATGTTCTGAATGGTTGTTTTGTTGTTGTTCATTCGTTCCCAACTCTTCGTGACCTCATGGACCAGCCCACGCCAGAGCGCCCTGTCGGCCGTCACCACCCCCAGCTTCTTCAAAGTCAACCCAGTCACTTCAAGGATGCCATCCATCCATCTTGCCCTTGGTCGGCCCCACTTCCTTTTTCCTTCCATTTTCTCCAGCACAATTGTCTTCTCTAAGCTTTCCTTTCTTCTCATGATGTGGGCAAAGTACTTCATCTTTGCCTCTACTATCCTTCCCTCCAATGAGCAGTCGGGCTTTATTTCCTGAAGTATCTGAATGGTTACAGCCCATATATTTCTGTGAAAATTAGCTACACTTAAGGTTCCACAGTATCAGACCACTGGCCAATTACAGCAAGTAAGAATCACATCCAGGCAACTGGGTGGTAGAAAAGGGTCATAAATTAATAATAGGTGTACTTTATTTAATGTTTATGATGATTTTGTGTTTTTAGCTAAATTGAAACCCACCTCGAGCCATAAGGAGAGGAGAGTAAGAAATAAAATTATTATTATTACTATTACTACTGAGGCAACCCTAACTTCAAATTCATCAGATTGGGGGGGGGGGTCCACACTGTAGAAATAAGATAGCACATGCTGTGAATGTAACCCCCACCCCCCCCCCCCATATGACATTCCCAGCCTATGACTAAGGCAAGGGTCCATAACCTTTTTTGTTACACGGATCCTGTCAGATGAAATCCATGGACACCTTCTCAGTGTAGCGGCAGAAAGTTTTATGACATTCAACATTGGAATGTCTTTAAATTAGATTTCAGGATCATTCTAAATTACATTTTACAACTGTCTCACAATTTCATTACAGGATAACCTAACATCTGTTCAAAGGGTAATTTTCGGCAAACATTTAGAAGCTTGAAGTTTCCTCCACAGGGTCATAAAACCGTATCTGACGTCCTTACCATCCTTTTTGCAGGCAGTTATCCACTGTCATGCTGCATCAAATGAAAAAACAGTTCACTCATGGACAACCTGAAATCTTTTCGTGGGCCCCAAAGGCCTTTGTGGGCCTCTAGTTAAGAATTCCTGGATCAAGGCTCTGGATATCTGGGTTCAATGCCTTCCTCAACCATTGAAGCCCATCAGGGGACTTTTGACAAGCCCCACTTTCTCAGCCTTAGTGAAAGAAAAAGGCAAAACCTCTTTGAACAAATATTGCCCAAAAAACCATGTGATAGGGCTGCCTTAGGGTTACCATCAGAAGAAGAATGCTAAGTACATAACAACAATATACTATACTGTAAACTGGATTCCGACTATAAATAGAAGGTCGGCTGCTGTCTTCACCTTGTTGCCTTGTTTTTTACTCGTGTTCTATTTTGAAATGGTCATATGACTGATCAAATAAATAAATATTATTATTATTATTATTATTATTATTATTATTATTATTATTAGATCAGGGCATGGTCCAGAGTGACTCCCAGATCAATTGTAATTGCTGTTTTAATATTTTTGATTATACTATTTATTGTTTTTATGATGCTAGCATCGTATGATGCTTTTGTTAGGCGGCCCTGAGTCCCCATTCGGGGGGGAGAATGTGCGGTATAAGTATAGGAAATAAATAAATAAATAAATCTCCAGCTCCTTCCACACAGCTGAATAAAACCCCACATTTGTTGCTGTTCATTCGTTCAGTCGTCTCCGACTCTTCGTGGCCTCATGGACCATACCATGCCAGAGCTCCTTGTCGGCCGTCACCACCCCCAGCTCCTTCAAGGTCAGTCCAGTCACTTCAAGGATGCCATCCATCCATCTTGCCCTTGGTCGGCCCCTCTTCCTTTTGCCTTCTACTTTCCCCAGCATAATTGTCTTCTCTAGGCTTTGCTGTCTCCTATGATGTGGCCAAAGTACTTCATCTTTGCCTCTACTATCCTTCCCTCCAGTGAGCAGCCAGGCTTTATTTCCTGGAGGATGGACTGGTTGGATCTTCTCGCAGTCCAAGGCACTCTCAGCACTTTCCTCCAACACCACAGTTCAAAAGCATCTATCTTCCTTCGCTCAGCCTTCCCTAAGGTCCAGCTCTCACATCCGTAGGTGACTATGGGGAATACCATTGCTTTAACTATGCGGACAGAAGTCTGCGACATTGTTCAGGAGGCAGCAACAAAGTACATCCCAAAGAAAAAGAAAACCAAGAAGGCAAAATGGTTGTCTGCTGAGACCTTGGAAGTAGCCCAAGAAAGGAGGAAAGCAAAAGGAAACAGTGATAAGGGGAGATATGCCCACTTAAATGCGCAATTCTGAGGTATCTCCTGACGTTTCACCTGCATCTATGGCAAGCATCCTCTGAGGTATCTCCTGACGTTTCACCTGCATCTATGGCAAGCATCCTCAGAGGTATCTCCTGACGTTTCACCTGCATCTATGGCAAGCATGCCTCTAGAACATGGCCCTATAGCCCGAAAAAACCTACAAGAACCTAGTGATTCCAGCCATGAAAGCCTTCGACAATACAAATAAATATCCGGTTCCTTCCACACAGCTGAATAAAATCCCACATTATCTGCTTTGAAATGGGATATATGGCAGTATGGACTCAGATAATCCAGTTCAAAGCAGATGTTGTGGATGATCTGCCTTGTTGTTCTGGACTATATGGCTATGTGCAATGGCCCTCAGTTACCCTTCCCTTCAGGCTCACAAGTGAGACAGGCCTTCTCGTCAAAACAGGCCCTGCGCGGCTTCTGAAGGAAACAAAGGCCGAAGCCCGGCTCTCCCTCAGCCCCTTCCCCCCTCGAGGCCCTGCGCGAAGACTCACGTGAGGACGGGGATGGGCGTCCACACGACGCAGTATGGGAAGCGGCACCGCTCGGCGTTCATCTTCCCCACCGCGGCCTCCTCTTCCTCCATCGCCGGGTGGCGTCACATCCGGCACCTGGTTGCCATGCTTCCGGGACAACACCAGCGAGGAGGCGTGGTAAGATGGCGCCCGCTGCTGCCGGTGGGCGGGGCCTGGGCTGCGCGCGCACCCTCCCTCCTCCTGCTGGGGAGCAGGCCTCTGGGGGGCCTTGAGGAGGCTTCTGTACCATTGTGGGCTCTGCAAGGCAAAGGCATTTTTTTTTCTGCAGGGGTTGCTTGTTGTCATTCATTGATTGTACTTGACTAAGCAGGTATCCCACAACTGTGGTCTTACAGCACTTTGAGCCTCCAACTCCCAGAATTCCAAACCTTTGAATAAGCTGGCTTCTTGGAGTATGGATGCCTGGACTGAAGTTGTTCCAAGCTCTATGCAATGTGGATCCATATAATAATAACTAGCGGTCCCCTGCCACGTGTTGCTGTGGCCCAGTCTGGTGATATGGAAAATAAAGTAATTAGAAAGTGCTGGTTTCTAATATATGTAATGTCTAGATCAGGGGTCCCTAAACTTTTTGAACAGAGGGCCGGGTCACAGTCCCGCAAACTGTTGGAGGGCCGGATTATAATTTGAAAAAATAATAATGAATGAATTCCTATGCACGCTGCACATACATTATTTGCAGTGCAACCCCCCCCCCCCAAATCAAAAAACAAAAACCCACACTTCTGTATAAATAAAAATGTAATGTTCGTTTGTGGGATTAACAGAACTCAAAAACCACTGGACGAATTGACACCAATTTTGGACACAAGACACCTAACAACCCAATGTATGTCCTTCACACACAAAATGGATTTTGTCATTTGGGAGTTATAGTTGCTGGGATTTATAGTTCAACTACAATCACAGAGCATTTTGAACCCCACCAAAGATGGAATTGAACCAAACTTGGCACACATTTCTCCCATGACCAACTGAAAATACTGGAAGGGTTTGGTGGGCAGTGTCCTTTCGTTTTGGAGTTGTAGTTCACCTACATCCAGAGATCATTGTGGACTCAAACAATGATGGATCGGGATCAAACTTGGCACAAATACTCAATATGCCCAAATGTGAAGACTGCAAAAAATATGATTTTGTCATTTGGGAGTTGTAGTTACTGGGATTTATAGTTCACCTATAATCAAAGAACATTCAGAACCCCATCAACGATGGAATAGAACTAAACTTGGCACACAGTTCTCCCATGACCAACAGAAAATACTGGAAGGGTTTGGTGGGCAGTGTCCTTGGTTTTGGAGTTGTAGTTCACCTGCCTCCATAAATCACTGTGGACTCAATGATAGATCTGGACCAAACTTGGCACTGATACTCAATATGTCCAAATGTGAACACTGGTGGCGTTTGGGGGTTGTATTTGCTGGGATTTATAGTTCAATCAAAGAGCATTCTGAACTCCACCAATGATGGAATTGAACCAGTCTTGGTACACAGAACTCCCATGAACAACAGAAAATACTGGGTTTAGTGGGCATTGACCTTGAGTTTTGGAGTTGTAGTTCACCTGCCTTCACCACGCCGGCGTTCCCTGGCCACGCCCACCCAGCGCCGCTCCGTCAATTGCGGACACCCTCTGCTCCAGCCGCTCTGCTCTGCAGAGGACCCACCTGGGAGGCTTCTCCCTCCCACACAGGCAGAGCGGCCGGAGCAGAGGGTGTCCGCAATTGGCGGAGCGGCGCCGGGTGGGCGTGGCCAGGCCAGGCCGCGCGGGCCGGAGAAATGCCCTCGGCGGGCCGGATACGGCCCATGGGCCGTAGTTTGGGAACCCCTGGTCTAGATGCTTGTGGGGAAACAGTATTTCTTGATGTTTCTTTGACAATGTTGACGTAGAGATTGTCTGGTTTTCCTACTCTGGAACATGCAACATAGAATTATCCTTCTTCAGGGGTCCCTTTCAAATCTACAATACTTTATCTGTGTGTGTGTGTGAATCATATCTATCTATCTATATCTATTGCTGGGTGGCTCTCTGTCAGGAGGGCTTTGATTACTTTTTTCCCCTGGTGAAGGGAGATGGACTGGATGACCATAAGTATTTTCTGTTGATCATGGGGGTTCTGTGTGGGAAGTTTGCCCCAGTTCTGTCATTCGTGGGGTTCATTCAGAATGGTCTTTGATTGCAGGTGAACTGTAAATCCCAGTAACTACAACTCCCAAATGCCAAGGTCTATTTCCCCCAAACTCCATCTGTGTTCATATTTGGGCATATGGAATATTCATGCCAAGTTTGGTCCAGTTCCATCATTGTTTGAGTCCACAGTGCTCTCTGGGTGTAGGTGAACTACAAGTTCCAAACTCAAGATCGATGCCCACCAAACCCTTTCAGTATTTTCTGTTGGTCATGGGAGTCCTGTGTGCCACATTTGGTTCAATTCCATCATTGGTGGAGTTTAGAATGCTCTTTGATTGTGGGTTAACTATAAATCCCAGCAACTACAACTCCCAAATGACAAAATCATAATTTTTTGAGTAATGGTCACTCCTTGTGTTGTGAGACGTTTTGTTGCCAAATTTGGTGTGATTTCGTTCATTGGTTCTTTTTTTTTAAGGTACTCATTATGCACAGAGCATTTATATATATATAGATATATATGTATCGCATTCTATATATATAGGCCAAGAACAATCACAGCGATATATATATATATATATATATATATATATATATAAAAATACTAGCTGTGCCCTGCCACGCGTTGCTGTGGCCTATAGTAAAACTTATCAAAGTTGAGGTAGATATCTGGACTATTATGAAAGAGAGGTACCTACCTATTCCTTCCCCCTTTTCCTCCCCCTTTCTCTCCTTTCTTCCTTCTCTACCTCTTTCTTTCTTTCCTTCTTTCACTACTTGGTTTCATCCTTCTCTCTTTCCTTCATTCCCTCCCCCTTTCTTCCTTTGCCTTTCTTCCCTCCCTGTTTGCTTCCTTCTTTCACTTTTTATTTCCTTTTATTTCACCACCATCATAACAATAACAATAATGCAATGCATTGCCTCTGGGACCTGACACCTCTCCCATTCCCCCTAAAAGGGTCTCATAGGAATAATAGCATAATAATAATAGAAATAACAACCTTTACCCGCCACGTGTTGCTGTAGCCAACCTTCCCTCTTTCTCTCCTTCTTTCACTCCTTCCTTCCTTCCTTCCCTTCCATCTTTCCTTCTCCTCTTCCTTCTCTATCTCTTTCCTTCCCCCTTTTTCTTTCTCTTCTGGTCTCTTTTCTTCCTTCTCTCTTTCCTTTCGGGGTGGGGTTTGGAGGTGGCGTGAAGTAAAAGGAGGTAAGATTGGGGCAGGGGAGTGATGGAGCGTGGGGTTGCGTGTGTGTGTGCGGCGGCGGGGAGAGTGATGGAGCGTGGGGTTGCGTGTGTGTGTGCGGCGGCGGGGGGAGTGGGGTTGCGTGTGTGTGTGCGGTGGCGGGGGGAGTGATGGAGCGTGGGGTTGTGTGTGTGCGTGCGGCAGGGTGTGTGTGTGTGCGGGAAGCGGCGCGGCGGGGCTTGGAGTGGGCATGGCTTCCGCAGAGGGAACGTTGGCCGGAAGACTGTGTGCGCGCGCCAGGGAACTTGCGGCTGGGCACCAATGCGCATGCTCAGTTGTTTTGCCGTTTTGTGAGTGTGTTGTTGTGTTGTTTTTCATTTTGAGTAGATATGTTTGTACCTTGTGGGTTGTGTTATGGGCATGGGAATTTTGGTTAAGTTTCGTTGGGTTTTTTGAGTTTTGTTGTTTTGCCGTTTTGTGAGTGTGTTGTTGTGTTGTTTTTCATTTTGAGTAGATATGTTTGTACCTTGTGGGTTGTGTTATGGGCATGGGAATTTTGGTTAAGTTTCGTTGGGGGGTTTGTGAGTTTTGTTGTTTTGCCGTTTTGTGAGTGTGTTGTTGTGTTGTTTTTCATTTTGAGTAGATATGTTTGTACCTTGTGGGTTGTGTTATGGGCATGGGAATTTTGGTTAAGTTTCGTTGGGGGGTTTGTGAGTTTTGTTGTTTTGCCGTTTTGTGAGTGTGTTGTTGTGTTGTTTTTCATTTTGAGTAGATATGTTTGTACCTTGTGGGTTGTGTTATGGGCATGGGAATTTTGGTTAAGTTTCGTTGGGTTTTTTTGAGTTTTGTTGTTTTGCCGTTTTGTGAGTGTGTTGTTGTGTTGTTTTTCATTTTGAGTAGATATGTTTGTACCTTGTGGGTTGTGTTATGGGCATGGGAATTTTGGTTAAGTTTCGTTGGGGTTTTTTGAGTTTTGTTGTTTTGCCGTTTTGTGAGTGTGTTGTTGTGTTGTTTTTCATTTTGAGTAGATATGTTTGTACCTTGTGGGTTGTGTTATGGGCATGGGAATTTTGGTTAAGTTTCGTTGGGGGTTTGTGAGTTTTGCTGTCCGGTTGAACCAACCTAACAGATTTATATATATAGATGTATATGTATGTATGTATCAGAAATAGACCTATACTTGACCTGGGCTAACAGGTAAGCTGCCCAGTTATCTGCCATACTGAGAACCAGCCTCAGGCAGTGGCTCAGGGACAAAGGAATTCCAACACCTTTTTTTCAGTTAGCTGGAAAAGTCATAATCTCATAATCTACGTCATTCTTACATAGATATTGCACTCATTTTTCAAATCTAGAATGTATAAACTATACTTTTACTTTTCCTGACACTTAAATGTAAGATATTTTTTACTTTCAGTCTAAGCTTCCTGAGTCTCACAGCTTAACTCAAACAATGGACCTGGTTGTATAAAAACTGGGGTGCAGAGAGTACATACTCTCTATGCTTACACCTTTAGGGCAATAGCTCTGCTTGCACCACATCTTGCAAGATGGAAATAAAACACCTCTGTCCTTGTCTTCGGCTGCTTTAGTGAGTTAATTTTAATCTTGAATTTTGGCTATTAATTGTTAGCATTAATTGCCAGGCAGAATCCTCAAAGTATTGCAACCTAGATACTATATCGATGCCTCGTGTAGTAGCTTTTGCAAATAAGGCAGCTCTGTGTGTAATCTGTGAGTCACAGTCTGATAGATGTCAGGGCGGTTTCCCATAAAAAGAGGCTGAAGTCTGTCTCAAGAATCTTTTTCCTGATATTTTGGTAAAACCTCCCACCATCTTAAATTTCTCAGAACATTTCTACATCTGCTATTCAGAACAGAAATCAGCACAATTTGGAAATGTATTTCTGTAAATGTGGTTCTCAGAGGGGCAAAGATAAGTATGTGTCAGTATTGGGCTCTTACATGCGAATTGATGTCAACGGATTATGCAAGTGGGAAAATTGAATATTATGTTGAAATTTAGGCCCCTTCTATACTATCATATAATCCATACTATCAAAACAGATAATCCACATTATCTGCTTTGAACTGAATTATCTGAGCCTATGTTGTTGTTCATTCGTTCAGTCGTTCACAACTCTTCATGACCTCATGGACCAGCCCACGCCAGAGCTCCCTTTTGGCTGTCACCTCCCCCAGCTCCTTTGAGGTCAATCCACGCAGCCTATACTGCCATATAATTGAGTTCAAAGCAGATAATCTGGATTTTATATGGCAGTATAGAAGAGGCCTTAGTCCTTATGATTACCCAGTTCATAGACCCAGTCCCTTGACCTGTGTTCAACTCTAGGGTATATATTTAAAAGCATTTTAAAAGTTAATAAGTCTTGGACCATGTAACCCCAGCCATCTAACCAATGATGATATGGCGTTTTCACTCTTGCCTTTTTTAGTGAATGAGGGGTTTTAGGATTAAGCAACATATGAGTTACGAAGCTGGGGGAGCCATGGCATTTTATAATTATTCATTGAGCTACTGTGAAAAAGGAGACAAACATAAATATCATTGTATCTGATGCAGAAGGTCAGCTGCTGTCCTCTCCTTTTTGCCTTGTCTTTTACTCGTGTTGTATTTTGAAATGGTCATATGACTGGTCAAATAAATAAATTATATATTATCATTGTGTCTGATAGTGCAAATGCCACTGATTGAGGTTCCGGGTTTTCACCTGCCACTTTTGGACTCTGATTTGCTGAGGTGTTGCTGCGAGTATCTCCGTAGATCTTAGGAAGCTGTTTCTTGATTTAAGACATTGGCATGCTGGCTGATATTTGAACAGAGGATGGGCCGGAGATGTCGCTGCCTTGGGCCTTTCATTACTTGCTGCTACTTTCCGGCAGATGTCAGGTGGTACAATACCGGCTAAACAGTATAATTTCTCCAGCAATGTAGGACGTAGACATCCTGTGATAATGTGGCATGTCTCATTAAGAGCCACATCCACCGTTTTAGCATTGTGAAATGTGTTCCACACTGGGCATGCATACTGAGCAGCAGAACAGCAAAGCACAAGGGCAGATGTCTTTGTTGTGTCTGGTTGTGATCCCCAGGTTGTACCAGTCAGCTTTTGTATTATATTGTTTCTAGCACCCACTTTTTGCTTGATAGTAAGCAGTTCTTCTTGTAAGTCAGAGCACGGTCCAGGGTGATTCCCAGGTATTTGGGTGTGCTGCAATGCTCCAGTGGGATTCCTTCCCTGGTAATTCTCAGAGATTGAGATGCTTGTCTGTTCTTAAGATGCACACATCTGTGTTTCAGATGGATTAGGAATTGGCTGGTTTTCCCTGTAATAGGCGGTAAGAGCACCTCAAGCTTCAGAGAGTGTCTGTTCAACCATTTCAACGCTCCCTGCTTGAGCAGTGATGGCACAATCATCAGCATATATTAAACTCTCTATATCCCTTTTGGCAGTGGCTGATAATTTGTGTTATTGTTTAACACTGATGGAGCAAGCATGCTCCCCTGAGGCAGGCCACTTGCTTGTTTCACCTTGGAACTCAACAAAAAAGCTCCTGTTTTGTAGCAGATTTCCTATGAAGCAGGTTAGGCAGTAATCCTTTGTGATATTTTACATTTTTCCCAGGAGGAAGCGATGATTTATTTATGATTTACAGCAGCATTTTTCAACCTGAGGGCAGGGTCCCCGGGGAGGGGGGGGGTTGTGAGGGGGTGTCAGAGGGGTCACCAAAGAACATAAGAAAAGACAATATTTTCTGTTGGTCATGGGGGTTCTGTGTGAGAAGTTTAGCCCAATTCTATCGTTGGTGGGGGTTCAGAATTTATTTTTTATTTCTTCCCAGCATTTCTACCCTGCCCTTATCAACCCCAGAGGAGGGACTCAGGACAGCGCACACTTGGTAGCAATTCGATACCACAGCATACAAGCAAATACAACAATATAACAACAGTTTAAAACAATAAATAAATCATTAACCCTGCCACAGGTTTTTAAATGCGTCGTGTCATTACTGTATTGTTTCTTTGCTTTGTTATGAGTTATTTATTGTTGTATTGTTGTTGTTATGTTTTTATGATGTATTTGGGCTCGGCCTTTTGTAAGCCGCACCGAGTCCTGCTGGAGATGGTAGCGGGGTATAAATAAAGGTTTATTATTATTATTATTATTATTATTATTATTATTATTATTAAATTAAAAATAATTAAAAATATTTGTCAACCATATAGCCATTCCAGTCCAATTCCACATCCAAAGTGCTATTATGCCTGCCATCCAAAAGCCTGGTTCCAGAACCGTGATTTCAGTTTCTTTCTGAAAGACAGGAGGGACGAAGCCGATCTAATCTTGCTGGGAAACAAGTTCCACAGGCAGGGGGCCACTGCAGAGAAGGCCCTGTCTCTCGTCCCCACCAAACGGCAACTCTTTGATTGTAGGTGAACTATAAATCTCAGCAACTACAACTCCCAAATGTTAAGCTCTATTTTCCCCAAACTCCACCAAGTGTTCACATTTGGGCATATTGAGAATTTGTTCCAGCGCCATCAAGTTTGGTCCAGCGCCATCATTGTTTGTGTCCACAGTGCTCTCTGGATGTAGGTGAACTACAACTCCAAAACTCAAAGTCAATGCTCACCAGATCCTTTCAGTATTTTCTGCTGATCATGGGAGTTCTGTGTGTCAAGACTGGCTCAATGACATCAATGGTGGATTTCCGAATGCTCTTTGATTGTAGGTGAACTATACATCCCAGCAACCACAATTCCCAAATGAGAAAATCAACGCCCCCCCCCCCCCAAAATCCACGAGTCTCCAAATTTAGGCGTATTGGGTATTTGTGCCAAATTTAGTCCATACATCCTGCAGATCGGATATTTATATTACAATCCCTAACAGTTGCAAAATTACAGTTTCGAAGTAGCAATGAAAATAATTTTATGTTTGGGGGTCACCACAACATGAGGAATTGTATTAACGGGTCGCGGCATTCGGAAGGTTGAAAAACACTGATTTACAATATCATAAGCTGCTGATAGTTCTATGAAGACAGCTCCTGTAATCTCTAACTGAAATCTAGCATTAAAAATGACAAATATTAATTTCCTATCACATTACAGGTGTTGCAAGAGCTCCCCTAGTGGCCGCAGCCGGGAATGTTGCGTTGGATTTTTAACAATGTTTTCAATCCAACGCAACATTCCCGGCCGCGGCCACTAGGGGAGCTCTTACCCCTACCTGGTTTGCCAGCAGACGGAGAGTTTTCTTTTCCGGGCCGGTGATTGGCAGCTTCCGGAGCGAATCGGAGCCTTGCTTTGGAGAGGCCAAGCCAAGGAGTCCTGCCTCTTCGGGGCTTCAGCAGTCTGGCTGGTTTGGGGCAAAGTTTCCCGGGAAAAAACGAGGCCGGTGAGTTATGGAGGCGCAGAGGGCAGGATCTGTGTAGCAAAGGTTGCATCTACACTGTGGGATTAACCCAGTTTGATCCCACTTTAACTCCCCTGGCACAGTACTATGGGATCCTGGGAGTTGTAGTTTCCCAGGTCATTTGCCATCTCTGCCAAAGAGTGCTGGTGCCTAAACTATAACTCCTACGAGCCCATAGCAATTAAAAAGCAGTATCAAACTGCGTTAATTTTACAGTGTGGATGGTCAGGGTGTTTATGATCTCTGATTATTATTATTATTATTATTTCCTGGTGTAACTTAGATAGCACTTTTTGGTTAAATGGAAAAGCAGTTTTAATTTTTTTTCAAAGGTAAATTACAATATTACTGAACCCTCCATTGGGAAAAAATAGTTTAGAAAGAAGGAGAAGAAGGTAAATTACAATATCATTTGCTCAAAAGGATGGGTTCGGCCTCAACCAGGAAATGAGGTGCAACAATGTTCTTTTCTTTTTCAAACTACTTGTTTGTTTTCTTCCCATCCGGTTTCAGTGCAGCCTTAATTGAAATATTAATTGCGATGTGGATGATGGTTTGGGTTGTTGTGAGTTTTCTGGGCAGTATGGCCATGTTTCAGAAGCATTCTCTCCTGACGTTTCGCCTGCATCTGCAGCAGGCATCCTCTGAGACTGTGAGATCTGTTGGAAACTAGAAAAATGGGGTTTATATATCAATGGAATAATGCCCAGGAAGAAGAAAGAACTCTTGTCTGCTTGTGGCAAGTGTGAATGATGCAACTGGCCACCTTGATTAGCACTTCAAAGCCTGATACTTCCTGCTTGGGGGAATCCTTTGTTGGGAGGTTCTGTTTGAGGTAGGTGTGCATGTTTCAGTAGGCCACCTTGATTAGAATATTAGAATAGCAGTTTCATAACAGCAAGAGAGGAGATTCCATCTGAACATGAGGAAGAACTTCCTGACTGTGAGAGCCGTTCAGCAGTGGAACTCTCTGCATTGAATAGTCGGTGCAGATGAGGGCTTCGTTTTGCACAGAATGCAAATTGTATACCAGATCTAGTTGCATAAAAGCGCCACCAAATTTGAATGTGTCTCCCATTGACTTTAGTATAGCTTTTTATATAGTTAGATAGATAGAAGATAGATACAGAGATAGATAGTGTCGAAGTATAATAGATAGAGTCGAAGTATGGGTTAAACCACTGAGCTACCATTTGAATACAGGGAGTGGGGTGGGCTCCCGCTGTTAGGCCCAGCTTCTGCCAAACTAGCAGTTCAAAAACATGCAAATGTGAGTAGATCAATAGGTACCGCTCCAGCAGGAAGGTAACGGCACACCATGCAGTCATGCTGGCCACATGACCTTGGAGGTGTCTACAGACAACACCGGCTCTTCGGCTTAGACATGGAGATGCGCATGACTCCCCAGAGTCGGACTCAACTAGACTTAATGTCAAGGGGAAACCTTTACCTTTTTGTGTCTGTATTCTTGCTTGACTGGCTGTACCACAAAGAGTGTTGCTAGGTGAAGTGGTCCTTTGTGATACCACTGGATTGGCTGTTGCTAGGTGAAGGATTGGCTGTTGCTAGGTGAAGGATTGGCTGTTGCTAGGTGAAGTGGTCCTTTGTGATACCACTGGATTGGCTGTTGCTAGGTGAAGTGGCCTTCTGTGGCTGGGAAAGGAAAATGACAGGTGTATGAAGGGAAGGGAAGAGCCATGACGAATATTAAACTTCAATTCTATGTTTAGTTTTTGTTTTGTGTATTTTAATATTTATTTTACAGAAATATATTTTAATATGTCTATTTTACAGAGTGTTTTTTAAATGATTCTTTGTTTTGATTGTGTGTTTTAACAATGTTGTAACCTGCCTCGACCTGTGAGAAAAGGTGGGTGAGATTATTATGTTGTCATGGAGACATTGTGGCATAGACCCTCTCAGAGCTTGAGAAGGAAGGAAGGAAGGAAGGAAGGAAGGAAGGAAGGAAGGAAGGAAGGAAGGAAGGAAGGAGAAAAAGAAGAGAAAGAGTGTCAGAAATATTAAAAATTAACTGAGTGTTTTTGATTACATAAGTGTGAGTCAAGCACTGAAAGAGTAAGTAGGCCAAAGCCTATTAGACCCAGTGGGCCAATGCTAGTGTCTTCCTGAGGAATGTGAGGTGGTAAACCTTTGTGTGAGAGAAGCTCCGTGTGAGAAAGCTCTAGTGAGAAGTAGGCTGTTAGGAATTGTGGGAGTTGAATTCCAAAACACCTGGAGGGCTAAAGACACAACAGTGTGCCCTTGGTATCCGCTGGGGTTTGGTCCCAAGAACCCTATGGATACCCAAATTGGCAAATGCTCAAGTGCCATTATATACGATCATGTAGTAAACTCACTTCCCTTGGATGAAATGGCAAAATCAAGACGACATTACAGGCGTTATGATATGATGTGAGCCGATTAATAATTCAGACAATTATTTCCTTACCTCAGTCGTTCTCAACCTGTTGGTCCCCAGGTGTTTTGGCCTACAACTCCCAGAAACAGTTTACCAACTGTTAGGATTTCTTAGAGTTGAAGGCCAAAATATCTGAGGACCCGCAAGTTGAGAACCACTGCCTTACAGAAAGCCATGACACCATAGAATTCCAAACAGGACAGGTAAGCAGTTGCCAGGTAATGCTGAATCCCCACATCCCTAGGACAGTTGTCTGTGAGGGATTGGGTTGCAAGATGTACAGAAAAATATACTAAAATTAAATAAGGCATTGTCCCGTTGTATGTATTGAAATATAGCAGCTATCTTCTGATGTTGCAGTGCCGACAAATTCACTTCCGTAGAGTAGGGAGGGGTGGCTACACCTGCTGAGCCTGATCCGGTCATAATATCCTTAATGACTCAACTGCCATCTATGCCTTGGGACTGGACCTGAATCTAGAATCCTCTTAACTCCCTGGTTAATTTCAGACCCTAACCGGTCATGACATATGACAGAATGGCTCCCATTATCCTGGTCATATGTGGGGAATCTTGCCTTCCAGGTGGCAGAGCTTGGAAAAGTGTTGGACTAGAATTCCCAGAATCTACACTGAATGGTAGGAGTAATTTGGGAGCTGCATTCCAAATAAGACCCTCCTCCCAATTGTATTTAATGTTGCTATTACTTAGGCCCTTTCAACACTGCCATATAAATTCCAGATTATCTGCTTTGAACTGGATTATATGGCAATGCAGACTCAGGCCCCTTCTACACTGCCACATAATCCAGAATTCCAGATAATCTGGAATTTATGTGGCAGTGTAGAAGGGGCCTCATACAATCCAGTTCAAACTCATTTTCAATTCAAAGCAGATAATGAGGATTTTCTTCTTTGATAACTTGGTTTATTTGATAACCCAATTAATTATTTCCAAAATTATCTGATCTGATAATTTGGATTATATAGCAGTGTAGAAGGGGTCTTAGACAACATGTACTAAGTGTAGTATGTATTATATGGCACCTTAAAGGGACTTTTCTGGGTATTGGAAAGCATCAACAGACGCCCTTTCTACACTGCCAGATAAGACGGGATATCAAAGCAGAAAAATCCATATATGATTTGAACTGGATTATCTTAGTCCACACTACCATACAATCCAGTTCAAAGCAGATAATCTGGATTTTATAAGGCAGTGTAGAAAGGACCTAGAAGTCTGCTATATAGCTTTATGTAAAACGGTATTACCGTTTTCACAACACGTTATGTGATTTAGCTGCGAGACCAGGAGTTTGAGTGTTAAAGTACTAGCTGATGCGTCATCATAGGCCCCTTCCACATCTGAATAAAATCCCACATTATCTGCTTTGAACTGTAATATATGGCAGTATGGGCTCATAACCCAATTCAAAGCAGATTTTTTTCTGCCTTGATATTCTGTGTGGGAGGGCCCCTAGTTTACATAAAACCAGTTAAGCAGCAACTTGTTTGTTTGCTCACAAAAAACAAAACAAAACAAACATCCAGAATGAGGTTAAAATCCAAGACTGATTTTTGAACAAAACACACACCAAAAAAGTTTAATATTATGCAGACTTTTACAAAATAGCTTCAGTTGCGCCAAAAGCCTGCTGAAACAAATGCGTGTTTACATCTCGTTGGGTATCAAAATAATGAAGAAGCCGAGGCAGACGACTCTCGGAGGACATGTCAGAATCAAACTTGTCAAGTGTTGTATGAAAGTGATGCATATAATTATTCCTTCTGTCTCACATTGTTGACGCTCTGAGTGCTTTTGAAGTCAAAATGACACCATCCGCACAGAAGGGAACTGATGGAACCTCACATTTTGCTAAAATATCAGAATATATTTTGACCAGAAGGAGGAAACACAGCAGAATATTCCTATAAAAGCCTAAGGGTTTAGAAGGGCGTTACATAAATATAGTAAATAAATAATATATTGAGGATAGTTTTGACGGTGCGGTGAGTGAATTAGAACCAGACATCCTGAGGAGTGAGGTTGAATGGGCCTTAAGAAGCATTGCTAACAACAAGGCAGCAGGAGACAACGGGATCCCAACTGAGCTGTTTAAAATCTTGAAAGATGATGCTGTCAAGGTGATGCATGCCATATGCCAGCAAATATGGAAAACACAAAAATGGCCATCAGACTGAAAAAAATCAACTTATATCCCCATACCAAAAAAGGGAAATGTGAAAGAATACTCAAACTTTCGTACAGTAAATGACCTTGCAGGGCTGCATCTGGCCCACAGACCTTCGTTTGGGGACCTCTGACCTAGGTAGTTTTCCATTCAAGCACTAAACAGACTCAAACATGCTTAGTAGGAGGTTTCGCCACGGTTGTGTTCTGTTCCCGCAAACCTTGCAAAGTAGGCAGTGGTTGTAGTATGGCATTTCAAGATGAGCAAGGTGCGGGGTTTGAAAGCAAAAACACAGGGCCCTTCCACATGGCCATATATCAAGGAAGATAACCCCACAATATCTGCTTTGAACTGGGTTATCTGAGTCCACGCTGCCATATAATGTGGATTTTATACAGGTGTGTGGAAGGGGTCATAGAACCAGAAACATAGTGTCTTGGTTAAGGAATTAGTTTTGGGGGAATGTGAAAACCTGGCTTGTGTTTCAGCCCCTTCTACACTGCCATATAAAATCCAGATTATCTGATTTGAACTGGATTATATGGAAGTGTAGACTCATATAATCCAGTTCAAAGCAGATAAAGTGGATTATCTGCTTTGATAAACTGGATTATATGGCAGTGCAGAAGAGGCCATAGTCTCCATGCTCCATCAGTAATCTGTTACATTGGATATAAGAAAGACGACTTTACTAGAAAATATAGTAAAGACTGTTAAGAGTTTTCGTGTGGAGTGAATTCACCCTCTTCTGAGACATCCATACACATATACCTCACTGCTGTGTTTTAGCTTTGTCTAGAAAGAGGAATGAGACTAAACAAATAACCCATCTTCCACTGGATTCTGATTATTTTGTCGCTCTGTGGCAGCAAAATGGAGTGATGGAACCAAGCGGATCCCACTGTTTCCCACATGATCTAAAACTCTGCTTCGCAAGTTGGAAAGAGAATGTGTGAATAAGCAACAATGGAAAGAGCCAATGGTGCCAGCCTGCAGCTCCAACCACTTTCCACCAAAGCTCTGCCAGTCCATGAGGATTTCTTCTCTTACAAGGTAAGGGTTTTAACAATAATAACATAATAACAATGATAATAATAATAACAACAACAACAACAATACCATCTGCCAACTGCAGAAGGCCACCTTACTGAGATCTGCACACATTATTCGCCGATACATCACACAGTCCTAGACACTTGGGAAGTGTCCGACATGTGATCCAATATAACAGTCAGCAGAGTGATCTTGTTTGCTGTGGACTCATGTTGTTGTGTTTCAAATAATAATAATAATAATTATTATTATTATTATTATTGTGCGGTTTTCTGGCATTGTATATTCCTGCCGCTTCTGTGAATGTTCATTTGTATTTTGATTCTGTAGCCCACTTGTCAATGGTTGTCTAGAATCAGCAGCATCCACCGCGGTCCTTTTTATCCTGGGCATCAACTGAGCCAGTATAGACTTTGTTTTGGTTTGTTTCTCCATAATGCTAATGGGTTAGGTGCTCTTAGTTCCACTCCTCAGCTGAGACCTCTCTGACTTGGTTGAACCTGCTGGTAATTGCACTACCACCAGCACAACTCTCGGCATCCTTGCAGCAGTTAAGCCTCCCACCACAACAAGGTGGCACCCATTTGGGGGTGACAGTTGCATTGAGGAAAAACAACAGGAAAAACTCAGCCTCAAAATCGAACTTGAAAGGCTCTGGCATAAACCAGTACAGGTGGTCCCAGTGATCATCGGCACACTGGGTGCCATGCCAAAAGATCTCAGCCGGCATTTGGAAACAATCAACATTGACAAAATCACGATCTGTCAACTGCAAAAGGCCACCTTACTAGGATCTGCAAGCATCATTTGAAAATACATTACACAGTCCTAGACGCTTGGGAAGTGTTCGACTTGTGATTTTTTTGATATGAAATCCAGCATATAGATCTCGTTTGCTGTGACATACTGTGCTTTTGTGTAAGTAAAATAATAATAATAATAAATAGAGTAAAATAATAAATGTAACAACAATAATAAATATATTAAAATAATGTAATAAATAATGATAGAGTAAAATAATGGAAATATAATAATAATAAATAGAGGAAATAATAAATGCAATAAATAATGATAGAGTAAAATAATGGAAATATAATAATAATAATAGAGTAAAATAAGTAAAATAATAAACGTAATAAAAATAAAAATAATAGCAGAGTGAAATAATAAATAACCTTGACTCAAGTATAAGTCGGGGGGGGGGGGGGCTTTTTCAGTGTTAAAAAAGGGCTGAAAAACTCGGCTTATACTCAAATATATACAGATTATATTATCAGATTCCCTGTTCGGCAGGACTAACACAAAATTTATTTTGATTTATTATACTTCTTCCAAGCAAGCTTCTTCCCCCAACACGCCAAAATGAGAATATACAGAGCTGGTCTAAGGGTCACTTGAGCACTAAGGACGATTGAGATTTGATCATGACATCTGAACCTTTAACTTCCTGTTTGGAGTTCAACACTCCAACCACTGTGTCATATACCAGGGGTCCTCAAACTAAGGCCCACGGGCCGAATACGGCCCTCCAAGGTCATTTAACCAGCCCTCGCTCAGGGTCAACCTAAGTCTGAAATGACTTGAAAGCACACAACAACAACAATTCTATCTAATCTGCCAAAAGTAGACCCACACTTCTCACTGAAATACTATTAAGTTTATATTTGCTAAAATTGTTCTTAATGTGAATTATTGTATTGTTTTTAAGTGTTTTTTGCACTACAAATAAGATATGTGCAGTGTGCATAGGAATTCATTCAAGTTTGTTTCAAATTATAATCCGGCCTTCCAACAGTTTGAGGTAGTGTGACCTGGTCCTCTGTTTAAAAAGTTTGAAGACCCCTGTCATACACCATTAGAAAATTGTTGAATGTGACTTGGTACACTATTACCCTGTTGTTTACAGAACTGGTATCTGTGGTTTCAATCATCTATGTCCAACAAAATAGATCTTCTCTATGCATTTTCTTGGTTCTTCAGTGGGACTATAGTATTATTAGGCAAAAGTCCTTCATCTCCATAAGGTTCACTATTATCTGCAGTTTGTGGAATTCAGGAATGTAAACCCACAGATACGAGGATCACATTGTAATACCTGAGATTAAGCTGTTTTATAAAATTGCTAAGAAAATACTATGGAATCTATGGAGTCACTCTAAATCAGCAGATGGCTTGAAGGCACACATACACATACTTTATTGGGTGTGTTCAAGTTTTGGGACTGCTTGCCATTCGGTTTTGGAAACCCGATAAAGAGCAAAATTGTCAGTGCAGGGAAATTGTTGACCTTTGTCTTGACCCGCAGAATTAAGGCTTGGCTCAGAAACAAGCATAACCTGCTAGACTTGGATTTTTTGGGAGACAGAAATTTTTGGAGCTGGATTGCCCTTTTCATTCTCTATTGGTATTTCCTTGGAGGTTTTTTTTTTGTGCTTTCTGGAATAAGTTTGGGAACACTGTACAGGCAGCCCCCAAGTTACAAGTAAGATAGGTTCTGTAGGTTGGTTCTTAAGCTGAATTTGTTTGTAAGTCAAAACAGGTACATTTTAAAGTGTAACTCCATCCAGCTCCATATATATATGTATATATTTATATCTATACACATAATGAAAGTGAAAATGTGTGTGTATGTGTGTGTGGCTGGGGTGTCCACTTACACAGACAAGGTCCTGCCTCAAACAGCTATAGCTCCCACTACTCAGGAGACACCAGTGGCCCTCCCTCCAATGACATTGCAGGTTATAGTGAGCACCATGAACATGCACAAGAGCCCTTCCAATGTCCTCCACAAATGCCATACTGCCCACGACCCAAGTGAAGGCTTTCATATGGGGACAACGTCATCCTAGATTTTCTGTTTTTCCTCCACCACAAACATCACAATGTTTCTTACTCTCTCCATTAGTGTGGAATTTCCATGACCCCGCCCACTGCCTTCCCCTTAATCCTTTCCTATTCTTTTCTATGGCGCACAGCAAGCAGAGGAATTGATCAGCAACTGAACATAATAGAAAGATTTGGGGAGAATTCACCATGATTTATAGGACTTGGGATGTATAGTTCACCTGCAATCTAAGAGCATTCTGAACACCAACGATGGACCTGGAACTAACTTGGCATACAAAATCCTCATGACCAACTAAAACATACTGGAGGTCTTTGGAGGGATTTATAGTTCACTTACATCCAGGGCATACTGTGAACCCAAACAATGATGGATCTGGACCAAACTTGGCATGAATATCCAATATGCCCAAATGTGAATACTGGTGGGTTTTGAGGAGAACTGGCCAGAACATCTTGGAGTTATAGGTACTGGGATTTATAGTTCACCTACAATCAATGAGCCCTCTGAACTCCACCAAAGATGGAGTTGGACCAAACTTGGCACACAGAGCCCCCATGACCAGCAAAAAATACTGGAGGTCTTGGGGGGGGGGGGGGTTCCAGGTTTCAATACAGACAAATTAGAGAACATTACATGAAAGACAAAAAATAGGATTTATGGATAAAGAAACCTTTTGGGACACGATAGTAATATTAGAAAACAAGACAATAACAAAAATATGTAAGAAGCTATTAGAATGGTCTACTGAAACAGAGCTAATTAAAAATTGTATGGTTAAGTGGGCAGCAAATATTGGACATGCAATACAATTAGAAGATTGGGAGAAAATCTGGAATAAAATAATCAAATACACATATGCATTTGACTTAAAAGAAAACTGGTTAAAAATGATGTACAGATGGTACATCACACCTCAGAAATTGGCCAAATGTTACCCAAAAACAAATGATAAATGTTGAAAGTGCGAAGAACAAACGGGCTCCTTCTTCCATATGTAGTGAACCTGTAAACTTGGCACACAGAACCCCCATGATTAACTCAACCTACTGGAGGCCTTTGAGGGGTTGACTCACCACAGTGGGAGTTGTAGTTTACTCTATAGCCAGAGAGCACACTAAGCCCCACCAATGATGCATCCAGAGCAAACTTGCCCAACAAACTTCAACCACTGATGGGGTTTCAGAGGGTGAACCTGGCATTATGTGAGTTGTAGTTCACCCACAACCTTATGCATTTTGTACAATTAAAAATTGACTTTTTCAAATAACCCAGGGAATGACGGGTACCCAAGCTTGTGTGTGTGTGTCTGTCTATCTATCTATCTATCTATCTATCTATCTATCTATCTATCTATCTATCAATTTTGGATAACATAAGGAAATTTCCTTTGCTGTCTGTGTCCCTGTTCAGAAGATTTCACCTCACTTTCTGTCCCTGTGATAATTGGATTTTAAAAACAAAAAATGCTGATAAAGCTTCAGTAGAGACCCCTTTTCCCCATGATAATAACTCTTCCAGGTGTGAATTTCCTTTCCGAGAAGGAGATTTCTTCTCATTTCCTGTTGTCTCACCCCATTCTTAACTGTAAGCTGTTTGTAACTCATGGGCTGCCAGTATTTGGAAACAAGCTCACACTGTTTTCTGAAAACAATGGCCAAACCCTGAACAATACTCGATGTGCTGTTCCATGCAAACATTCAACGTAAGAAAAGGTGTTGCTTTTTCTGAGTTCTCTTGTTTAGAAAAGGTCACTTCATTTCATTAAGGTTCCTTTCAGGAAGCAGAAGCAGCACACATCTCTCATGACACAATGTCTTTTGCAAAATCTAGTCAGGTGGAAATTTTCCTGTTAGTATATTTTTTGCTCCTAAGATGGCATTGTTTCATAAAATGAATTAATATCGTAATGGGTGAATACATCACAGAAAAATATTTTGGAATTCATTTAATATTTGTTCCAAAGCTGTCATATGTCGCTTTCCGGTTCAAACAACACAACAAACTATAAGTAATTAAATTCTTGCTTGGTTCACTCCTGATACGATGGGGGAAAAGGCCATATTTCTGCCCATGAACCTCATTCACACTTTTAGTGTATTTAATTGTGTTATGATCATGTTTAAACAATCTATGAGTGAATACCACAGTATCCATTTTGGTAACTGCAGTAGAGAATATTGAAACCTGAAAGCAAAGTCGTAATTAAGTCCCCCTTACCATATTTAAGGAAAATGAGTATACTTTCATTCAGCACACATGTCAAGCTTAAGGTAAGGAAAATGTATACTATTGAGTTAGCTTGTCTTTATTTCCAAGTAAAAATTTGAATGTGTTTAGATGTGAAGAGTCCAGAACAGAAAGAATAAAAAGTAACATCCAACAATAGAAAAAGAAGAAAGGTAGCTTATGAGTTTGTCCCTAATGAGTAAAATTAACTAAACATAAATCAACATTATTATTATTATTATTATTATTATTATTATTATTATTTAATTTTATTTATACCCCATTTTCTCCCAGTGGGAACTCAAGGCAGGGTATAAATAACTTTAATAATAATAATAATAATAATAAGAAGAAGAAGAAGAAGAAGAAGACAAGATAACAATGCAATTAAGGCCAGGATTTAAAAATCAGCGGATGACCCCAAATGCAGACTGTGCAAGGAAGCTGATGAAACCATGGACCATATCCTCAGCTGTTGCAAGAAAATCGCACAGACGGACTACAAACAAAGACACAACTCTGTGGCCCAGATGATTCACTGGAACTTATGTCACAAGTACCACCTGCTAGCAGTAAAGAATTGGTGGGATCATAAACCCGCAAAGGTTGTGGAAAATAAACATGCAAAAATACTGTGGGAATTTCGAATCCAGACTGACAAAGTTTTGGAACACAATACACCAGACATCACGATTGTGGAAAAGAAAAAAGTCAGGATTATTGATGTCGCCATACCGGGTGACAGTCGCATTGAGAAAAAACAACAGGAAAAACTCAGCCGCTATCAAGACCTCAAAATCGAACTGCAAAGACTCTGGCATAAACCAGTACAGGTGGTCCCAGTGGTCATTGGCACACTGGGCGCCATGCCAAAAGATCTCAGCCAGCATTTGAAAACAATAAACATCGACAAAATCATGATCTGTCAACTGCAAAAGGCTACCTTACTTGGATCTGCGCGCACCATTCGAAAGTAATTCACACAGTCCTAGATGCTTGGGAAGTATTCGACTTGTGATTTTGTGATACGAAATCCAGCATATAGATCTCGTTTGCTGTGACATACTGTGCTTTTGTGTCAATAAGACAAGATAACCCAGTACTATACATTTTCCTTACCTTGAGCTTGGCATGTGTGCTGAATGAAAGTACACATACGCATTTTAAAATACTGTTAATATTTAATCCTGTTTTAATGTTTGTATATTTGTATATTTTACCCATTTATTTATTTATTTTCTGTATTTGTATCTCACCTTTCTCTACCCTGAAGGAGACTCAAGACGGCTTTACATATGGCAATTATTCAATGCCTTTGGACAACAAACAGAATACACTTAAGTTAAAAAATTAAAATTAATTGTACATTAAAACATATAAAACATTGCATTCACTATTAAAATCATGCCATCCTCAATCATAATCCGGGGCTGTTTCAAAGATCAAGTGCACATATTTCAAGACTATTATTGCGCTATAGATTAATATCCGAAGGCTTGACCCCAGAGCCAGATTTTCACTTTCCTTCTGAAGGGCAGGAGGGAGGGAGCTGCTCTAATATCACTAAGGAGGGAGTTCCATAGCTGAGGGACTACCACTGAGAAGGCCCTGTCTCTTGTCCCCACTAGCTGTGCTTGCGACAAAGGCAGGACTGAGAGCAGGGCTTCCCCAGACAATCTTAATCTCCGCAATGGTTCATAGGAGGAGATCTGTTCGGACAGGTAAACTGGGCCAGTACTGTTTAGGGCTTTAAAGGCTAAAGCCAGCATTTTGAATTGTGCTCAATAGCAGACTGGTAGTCAGTGGAGCTGACGTGACAGGGGAGTTGTACACCGCTCTGGTGATCAATCTAGCTGTTGTCCGTTGGACCATTTCCAGCTTACAAACAGTCTTTAAAGGCAGCCTCCTTAGCAGCACGTGGAAAGGAGTGATAGAGTTGAACATAATCCATGTACAGGTGGTATCGAACTCCAAAACTCCGGGAAAATCTCATCCTGTAAAACCCGTACATTAATTGTATCCCTGCAATTTGCGTAGACTGCAATATTTTTATGCAGAAGAATGTTGCCCGTTTAGTACAATATTACGTTAACACACATATTGGTAAGAAATAATTACACATCATAATCATGTTTTACAGCTGAGTGGAAAAGTTTTCAGTTGTACCTTTTCTTTCATGCAGGAAAACCTGATCGGTGCTTTGCTGGCCATTTTTGGACATCTTGTCATCAGCATTGCTCTCAACTTGCAGGTGAGGAGAATGAAAAAAAAAATCCATGCAACCTGATTCCAAAACAAATTTCTGTGACTTATACCAAGGTGACTTCCTGTTGTATTTTCCTTTCCTCAGAAGTATAGTCATATCCGGCTTGCAGGCTGTAAAGATCACCGCGCGTATTTCAGAACCAAGACATGGTGGTGCGGACTCTTCTTGCTGCTCCTGGGGGAGCTCGGAGTCTTCTCTGCCTATGCCTTTGCACCCCTTTCCTTGGTTGTACCCCTGAGCGTTGTGTCAGTTATAGGTAAGTGCCCCGGCATGTGATTGTATTATTTCAGGAATCTTATAGTGGTAAAATACAAGAGATCTGGCACGACTGATTTTTTTTAAAAAAATAGAAAATTAGCAAAATGCTCACTGTTATAAGCAGCAGTATTTTCGTGAAGATACAATCTTTTCCTTTTGAAACTCCTCCATGAACTCACTAGTTGGCCATTTTATCTCAGCCTCTACTGGGCCAGCTTTGGCCCTCCCCCCAGGTGTTTTGGACTTCAACTCCCACAATTCCTAACAGCTGGTAGGATGATAGGGATTTTGGGAGTTGGAGTCCAAAACACCTGGAGGGAGGACCGAAGTTGGCCCATGCCTGGTCTAACCTTCTGTCCGCAATATAACCATAATAAGTGCCTTGTATCACAGGTTTGGTTTAAGGATTCCAGCAAAGCATAATGTCGGTGGAGTGCTTTGAAGATGCAAAAGCAATATATAAATGTGTTATCACTACTGTAAGAACATTGGGTGCACTTCAGTGCCCGGTGGGTTATGTCTTAACTGCATTAGTGACAACAAGTACTCCTTCCCAGCAATGAGAGGCTTAACATCCTGAGTTGGGTTGCTCCTTCCTCTCACTCCAATAAGTAGGAATAATGCAGATCTCAGAGAAGCGCCTTCTCATGAGAGCAACCACAGTTGAGGTCAGCTCTTGTTTTTTCTTGCAGTCTTTTTTGTTTCACAATATTTTACTTATAACAACAAGAAAAAGTCTGCTTTTATTTTGTCCTTTGATGAGAACATCCCAAGTAGGAATTTTGTAAAAAGTGGCCTTTTTACCCACCATGGCTTATTCCTCATAAGCAGATGACGCTAGCCCAGGTCATAAGCAACACCTGCTTATGTGTTCATTTCCAGCAGTGGATTTGTGTGTGTGTGTGTCTCAAGAGCGACTTGAGAAACCATAAGTCACTTTTGATGTGAGAAAATTGGTGTGTGAGAAAAGAAATTACAAGAATTGACTTTCTTGTAGGCCAGAGCACGGTCCAGGTATTTGTGTGTGCTGCAATGCTCCAGTGGGATTACTTCCCAGGTAATCCTTAGAGCTCGGGATGTTTGTCTGATCTCAAGATGAAAAGCATACATCTGTGTTTCAGATGGATTAGGAATCAGCTGGTTTTCCTTGTAATAGGCAGTAAGAGCACCTAAAGCTTCAGAGAGCTTCTGTTCAACCATTTCAAAGCTTCCTGCTTAGGCAGTGATGGCACAATCGTCAGCATAGATGAAATTCTCTGACCCTGTTTTGTTAATGAAATTATTAGAAAGAAATTACAGTGTTGCTCTCAGATAGAACCTAGGTGTAATTTTTGGGGAACCGGTATGGTGAGTGTGTTTTAAAGTACAGGGTGAGGCAGCATAACTTCCTTTTGTCAAAACTTAATAAAACCCATTGTATGAATCAGAATTTTTTATTTTTTATTTTATAATGTAGGCGCATACCTAAAGTTTTGTTTTATGTAGTTTTGGAGATCAAATTAGGTAGGTGACGTCCCCCATTCTCCATTCTCCATACACTGAGTAAACCGATTTCTGGCGTTTGTCATGACTCTTGCCAGCATAGCAGGCATTAAGTTGGCAATTTCTTCCTGGATGTTGGTCTTCAAATCTTGTAGGGTCCTTGGACGGTTTATATAAACATGGGATTTCAAAAAAACCCATAGGAAAAAATCACAAGGGGCCAAATTGGGAGAGCGGGCCGGCCACTCCAAATCCGCTCGAAAAGTCAGCCTCAACGGCAAAAGCACGCTCCTCACTGTTCCAACGCATGATGGCGACTGAACTGTGTCAGGACAAAACTTTGTACTCCTGCCTCTCGAATGAGACCACTGCGTCTTCAACTGACTGAATGGTGCGCATTTTTAAAAAGGAAGTTATGCTGCCTCACCCTGTACAATTTGATAATATTTTACATTACTTGTCGAGCCACCTTGGAAGGGTTCGCATCAATAAAGGCACATATTTGTTTCATTTCTTGCTCACTCTACCAAAAAGGTTTATTCTGAGCGAGGAGTGATGAAACAATTCTAAAAAATATCACAAATCAAAGAAACAATGAGTAATCTTAACGTTAGCTTGTGGGCAAATGTTCAATGTGATTTTGATAACACTTTTTTGTTTATTCTTATCTTTTTGCTCAGCAAGTGCAATCATTGGAGTCATATTCATTAAGGAAAAATGGAAACCCAAAGACTTTTTGAGTAAGTTTTTGATGTGTCTGTTAAAAGCTTCTTCGTTAGCTTCTGTACTGAATGTAGTTCCCCGCTTCCTTTTCCTCCTTCTCTGCGTTTTGCACGTCTTGTACGAATCAGTTCCTGGCACTCCCTGGTCAAGTTCCCGCTGATCTTACAAATTGCTTTTTCTCCTGATGTCTGTGTTAATTTGTTAGGACCAACTTTGTGAGGTCAGGCTAGTGCTTCATTATCTTGTTGATGTAGAGCCTGGATCCATGAAAGCTACTAATCTACCTGTTCACACATAATGTTAGTTTTGCAGCACATTAGCAGCGTGCAAAAATGGACAGCCTTGGTAAACTCCTTAGGCTGTTCGCTAGACCAGATTTTAAAATTATGTTGTGCTTAGATTATAGCATGCTTTTCCCCATTTAGGAGTATGTTGTTTCTGCTGGCTATTGTTCTTGCTTTGTTTTGTTTTCATTACCCCTCCATTTATGGTTTTTTTTTTCTTTTAAAATTTGTTTGCTCTGTGATTGCTTGTAAGCCATCTTATGTATAATTTGTGAATAAAAATGAGTTAAAATTTCTTAACAAATAAATAAGTGGTAGGCAGCTGCCACCCCCCCCCCCCCACTGCCATATAGAATCATAGAATCCTAGAGTTTGAAGAGACCTCGTCCAACCCCATTCTGCCAAGAAGCAGGAAAATCTCATTCAAAGCACCCCTGACAAATGGCCATCCAGCCTCTGCTTAAAAGCCTCCAAAGAAGGAGCCTCCACCACACTCCGGGGCAGAGAGTTCCACTGCTGAACAGCTCTCACAGTTAGGAAGTTCTTCCTCATGTTCAGGTGGAATCTCCTTTCTTTCCTCTAGTTTGAAGCCATTGCTCTATTGCAGTGGTTCTCAACCTTGGGTCCCCAGATGTTTTTGGCCTACAACTCCCAGAAATCCCAGCCAGTTTACCAGCTGTTAGGATTTCTGGGAGTTGTAGGCCAAAAACATATGGGGACCCCAGGTTGAGAACCACTACTCTATTGCATCCTCGTCTCCAGGGCAGCAGAAAACAAGCTTGCTCTCTCCTCTGTATGACTTCCCGTCACATCTTGATTCATGGCCCTCATCATGTCTCCTCTCAGCCTTCACTTCTTATGCAGGCTAAACATGCCCAGCTCTTTAAGCCGCTCCTCATAGGGCTTGTTCTCCAGACCCTTGATCATTTGAGTCGCCCTCTTTCTCTGGACACATTCCAACTTAGAGTCAACATCTCCCTTCAATTGTGGTGCCCAGAATGGGACACAGTGTGATTTCAGGTAAAGTGGTCTGACCAAGGCAGAATAGAGGGTTAGCATGACTTCCCTGGATCTAGACACTAGACTTGTATTGATGCAGGACAAAATCCCATTGGCTTTTTTTGCCGCCACATGACATTGTTGCCTCATGTTTCCCTTCCACCCCACGAGGACTCCCAAGATCTTTTCCAAATGTCCTTTGCTCAAGCCAGGCATCATCCCCCATTCTGTATCTCTGCATTTTCTTTTTTTCTGCCTAAATGGAGTCTCTTTTCTTTGTCCCTGTTGAATTTCATTTTGTTAGTTTGGTCCCATCATCTCTCTAATCTAGTGGTTCTCCACCTGTGAGTCCCCAGATGTTTTGGCCTTCGACTCTCAGAAAGCCCGACAGCTAGTAAACTGGCTGGGATTTCAGGGAGTTGTAGGCCAAAACACCGGGGAACCCACAGGTTGAGAACCACTGCTCTAAATACTGACAATACTATACAATACAATACACAACACAACAGTTCTGTCTGGAGAAACAGAAAACAAACTTGCTACATCTTCAATATGACATCCTTTCAGATGTCTAAACATGGCCATCATGTTCCCTCTGAACCTTCTCTTCTCCAAGCTTTTTTTTAAAATCTTGTCAGAAGTGACTGGAGGATATACTTCAAGTTGCTTCTGCTGTGAGAGAATTGGCTGTCTGCAGAGATGTTGCCCAGGGGACACCCGGATGTGTTACCATCCTGTGGGAGGCTTCTCTCATGTCCCCGCATGGGAAACTGGAGCTGACAGACGGGAGCTCATCCCGTCTCACGGATTCAAACCACTGACCTTCAGGTTAGCAGTTCAGCCAGCATGAGAGTTTAACCCATTGCGCCACCGCGGCTCCTTCTCCAAACTAAACTTGCCCAACTCCATGACTCGCACTTCATAAGGCTTTCTAATGCTGGGACTCTAGCACTTTGCATGATATCAGGGGTCCCCTTGGGCTCAAGAAGGTGATGTAAAGGAAAGTACGCCACAAATTGAATTCCAACTGCAGAAGTTGTTTATTGCAGGCCAAAGCAATTGGTGACAGCAGTACAAAAGGTGTGTTCCAACCTCAAAATGGGGTTGCAAGGCTTTTTATCACTTTACAGAAAGTCAAAAGCACGTTCTCATTGGTGTACAAAGATCAATTATTTCATTGATCTAAGCTGGCTAGCACAGATTTTCATCAGCTCTCTATGACCCTAACAAGCAGGATGGCAAATAGGTGGTGGGTAACAATGACACAATTATGCTTTCATGTCTCTGACCCTGTCTTAATTGTAAAGTGTTTATGGGTCGGTCTTACCTGCTTTTCTGTTTCAAGCACAAACTTCAAGCGGCTGGGAATTAGGGAGTGCTAGCTAGAGCCAATTCTGCCCTGATGAATTCATTCTTGAAAGTAATTCACCTCCCTGTGGCAGTTCTTTCTCCAAACATCAGCATTTCTAATGTATTGTCGAAGGCTTTCATGGCTGGAATTACTGGGTTGTGAGTTCTCTGAGCTGTATGACCATGTTCCAGAAGCATTCTCTCCTGACGTTTTGCCTGCATCTATCTCAGGTATCCTCAGCGGTTGTGAGGTCTCACAACCTTTGAGGATGCCTGCCAGAGATGCAGGCGAAATGTCAGGAGAGAATGCTTCTGGAACATGCCCATACAGCCTGGAAAACTCACAACAACATCGGCATTTTTGCAAACAAAGGCCTCTGCAAATCAGGACATATGGGACTTGCAATCATTGGAAGCATCCATGAAAATCCCATTTAAAACTACATCTCCCTCGCTAAAACCTATCTGCATACAATCATCGTTGTTATTTCTGACCAGAATTATGTGAGTTGAGAACTGTCGCTCAGCAGGCAGTTTTGAAAGTCTCTGCAGTTTTTCAGGGAGCAATCCAAAACGTCCTTGTGCAAATTGAAGAGTGGTGGCAGTAATGAATAGCTTGGGGAGACCCTAGCCACCAGCCTCTTACCAGAAGCAACCACCCAGAATGTACTCCTTGCAGAGGCTGGTTCTATAAATCCTCAATGTCTTCAGTGCTTGGCTCTAAACCAAAGCTTCATTAGAGAGTTTGCTTGGATAAATTTGCATGGATAAATATTTGAAAGGCTGTCATAAGGAAGAGGGTGCAGGCTTGCTTTCTGCTGCCCTGGAGACTAGGACTCAATGGAGCCATGGGTTGAAATTCTAGGAAAGGAGATTCCACCTGAACATTAGGAAAAACTTCCTGACTGTCAGAGCTATTCAGCAGTGGAACTTGTCAGTAATATTAAAAATTAACTAGGCATTTTGGGTACAAAGTGTGAGTCAAGCACTGAAAGTGTAAATAGGTCAAAGACTGTACAGTCAGTGGACCAAAGCTTGTGTCATCCTGAGGAGAGTGAGTAGGCCAAAACCTGTTAGAATCAGTGGCCAAAGCTGTTGTTGTCCTGAGCAGAGTAGGTAGGCTGAAGCCTGTTAGAGTCAGTGGGCCAAAGCTAGTGTCATCCTGAGGAGAGTGAGTAGGCCGAAGCCTGTTAAAGTCGGTGGGACAAAGCTAGTGTTGTTCTGAGGAGAGTGGGTAGGCTGAAGCCTGTCAGAGTCAGTGGGACAAAGCTAGTGTCGTCCTGAGGAGAGTGGGTAGGCTGAAGCCTCTCAGAGTCAGTGGGACAAAGCTAGTGTTGACCTGAGGAGAGTGGGTAGGCTGAAGCCTCTCAGAGTCAGTGGGACAAAGCTAGCGTCGACCTGAGGAGAGTGGGTAGGCTGAAGCCTCTCAGAGTCAGTGGGACAAAGCTAGTGTTGTCCTGAAGATAGTGAGTAGACCGAAGCCTATTAAAGTCAGTGGGCCAAAGCTAGTGTCGTCCTGAAGAGAGTGAGTAGGCCAAAGCCTGTTAGAGTTAGTGGGCCAAAGCTAGTGCCGTCCTGAGAAGAGTGAGTAGCCAAAGCCATTTTGAATCAGTGGGCCAAAGCTACTGTTGTCCTGAAGAGAGTGAGTAAGTTGGACCCTCTTAAGAATCAGTGGACTGAAGCTAGTGTCGTCCTGAAGAGAGTGAGTAGGCCAAAGCCTGTTAGACTCAGTGGGCCAAAGCTAGTGTCGTCCTGAATAGAGTGAGTAGGCTGAAGCCTGTTAGACTCAGTGGGCCAAAGCTAGTGTTGTCCTGAAGAGAGTGAGTAGGCCGAAGCCTGTTAGAGTTAGTGGGACAAAGCTAGTGTCCTCCTGAGGAGAGTGAATAGGCCAAAACCTGTTAGAGTCAGTGGGCCAAAGCTGGTGTCATCCTGAAGAGAGTGAGTAGGCCAAAGCCTGTTAGAATCAGTGGGTCAAAGCTACTGTTGTCCCGAGGAGAGTGAGTAGGCTACAGCCTGTTAAAATCAGTGGGACAAAGCTAGTGTCGTCCTGAGGAGAGTGAGTAGACCGAAGCCTATTAAAGTCAGCGGGACAAAGCTAGTGTCCTCCTGAAGAGAGTGAGTAGGCCGAAACCTGTTAGAATCAGTGGGCCAAAGCTACTGTTGTCCTGAGGAGAGTGAGTAGGCTGGAGTCGGTGGGCCAAAGCTAGTGTCCCTGGATCTTATGTGCTTATGTGTGCATGTAAGGCAGAGAGAAAAGGCTGCTGAAAGTATCTGAATGAAACCACTAACAAAACGTCTCCTATCCCCTTCTACCACAGGGCGCTATGTTTTGTCCTTTGTGGGCTGTGGCCTGGCTGTGGTTGGGACGTACCTGCTGATCACCTTTGGGCCAAACAGCCATGAGACCATGACAGGAGAGAACATCACTAAACATTTAGTGAGCTGGCCATTCCTTTTGTATATGGTAAGCAGACAAATCAAAGGCGGATTGGAGTGCATTTGCACTTTTAGGTGCTTACAGTGATAAATCTGTTAGAGAAGAGTGATGAAAGAAAACTGATAAAAGCGATGTTTACAGATATGTTGGTCTCTGTCTAGTCTGAAAGTCCAATGGAGTCTGTAGGCATACTGTTCCTACTGAAGTCTAAAGCATGCAGTTCCTGCCGGTGTCTGAAAGCATACTGTTTCTAAAATGGAGTCTGAGCCCTGAACAATCTCAGATCTGATCACATGGTCTGCAGTTCCTCGCACAACAAAAGAGTTAAGGAAGACTGCAAACCAATACACACATATATAATACAGTAAACAATTGGAATTATATACATAACAAATAACTAGTGGAGGCTTGAGAAGGTTGCTGTTTCCAACAGCCATAAGTTCAGAGTGGTTTTCTGTAAATATGTACCATAGAAAGTGGCAGGCAAGGTGTCTTTTAGATAACTGTGCCCAGCCCACCACTATTCTGCAAACCCAAGCCAAGGGTTCTCCATTTTACCCTGTAGTACCCTGTAGTCAGAAATTGGGCTCCCTTCATCCTTTGTTTCTGCTGGAGACAGTACCAAGTTGAATGTGATAGTCAAAGGTTTGCCATAACATTGCAGGATGCAATGCCTTTGATCATCTGATTGGTGTTCTTGAGATATTGTTGACTACCTTCGACAGCTGAGCTGGCCCTGACATCAGAAGAGCTTCATTTGGAGCATCATATTCAGGTTGAATGTTAGTCGCATATTATTGTGAAAGGCAGCTATAATAGTGAGGATTTCCATACAGATGAGCAAGCAAACCGGCATGGGTCACTTGGTAGAAAACTTGGTTTTGACTCACTGGCTTCAAGGCAGTAGTCTGATTTCCATGCTGCCTGCAGAGAATATGGCTTCTTCCTCCACCGCTAGTATAATAATAATACACTTTATTTATATTCCACTTTATCTCACCAGAGGAACTCAGAGCAGATTACAGTTTTACATATATAAGGCAAACATTCAATACTTTTTAGACACTAAACATTGACATGCAATACACAGGCGATGCTCAACTCTGGCCATAGGGAGGTGCGCTTGTTCCATTTTTTTCCATGCTGAGGAGCCTGTTGTCCATAGACTTCTCCAATAGTGTTGCCTGCATGTCTCCATGGGGCGTCCTTTTATCTCCCCGCCAAGGAGGTACCTTATTTATTATTTATTTAATGTACTTATATTCCGCCCTTCTCACCCCGAAGGGGACTCAGGATGGAGCACAACATATATACGGCAACATTCAATGTCGGAACTTAAACAAACTATAAATATACACAAACACTAAAATCAGTTATATCCACTTTAAAATCAAATGTTAACATCATTTCAAAACAGCCATACCATACCTATTCATTTACTTGCATTACATACTTTTGAACTGCTAAGTAGGCAGAAGCTCGGGCTAAAAGTCGAAAGCTCACCCCAACTCATAGCTTCGAACAGCAGATTTCCTGCCTTGACTTAGGCATTCCCTCATTGTCCAAGTATGATGGCCTTTCAAGTTCTTGGAAGACACCTGTGTGTGAGTTTTTTTAATGTGTGGAGGTCGGTGCACAGCCGATCAACACATAGTCTTCACAAAGGTAGGGTCCCAGCCATGGCATGGTTAACATGATGATGGTGGCTTCTCAATCTTTATTTATTTATTTACTCCACTTGTATACTGCTTTTCTCACCCCAGCAGGGATTCAAAGCGGTTTCCAACATATTTATGGCAAAATTGAATACATCACATACATATGAAACCTAACATAAAACAACAACGTATAACTATCAATCAATCTATATATATATAAATGCTCTGTGCGTAATGAGTACCTTAAAAACAAAAGAACCAATTAATGAAATCACACCAAATTTGGCAACAAAATGTCTCACAAAACAATGAGGACCATCACTCAAAAAATTATGATTTTGTCATTTGGGAGTTGTAGTTGCTGGGATTTATAGTTCACCTACAATCAAAGAGCATTCTGAACTCCATCAATGATGGAATTGAACCACACAGAACTCCCATGACCAACAGAAAATACTGGAAGGGTTTGGTGGGCATTGATCTTGAGTTTGGGAGTTGTAGTTCACCTACATCCAGAGAGCATTCCGGACTCAAACTATGATGGATCTGGACCAAACTTGGCACAAGCACTCAATACACCCAAATATGAACACAGGTGGAGTTTGGGGGAAATAGACCTTGACATTTGAGAGTTGTAGTCACTGGGATTCACAGTTCACCTACAATCAAAGAGCATTCTGAACCCCATGAACGACAAAATCGGGGGAAACTTCCCACACAGAATCCCCATGACCAACAGAAAATACTTAAGGCCATCCAATTCAACTCCCTTCATCAGGGCAAGAAAACGTAATGAAAGTCTGCCTGACAAAGAGCCATCCAGCCATAGATATAGATAGAGAGAGAGAGAGAGAGATGATTCATACACACACAGAGATATAGTATCATAGATTTGAAAGGAAGGACAATGATATGTTACATGTTCCAGGGTGAGCAAACCAGACACTCTCCACATAAACACTGACAAAGAAATAAGAAGTACTGTTTACCCGCAAGCATAAAGAAATTACATATATTAGAAACCAACACTTTTTCATTACTTTATTTTCCAGATCAACAGACTGGGCCACAGCAACGCGTGGCAGGGGACAGCTAGTTAGATAATAAAAACATAACATGTACCATATTCCACCTGATCTGCCATTGAGGTCTTCAGATTGTGCTAGGTCTGGAACCTTATCTGCCCCCCATTCCCCAGGGAGTACAGGGTTATGCCCACAGGTTCATTGGAACACGCAAGCCCCCTCACCACGACATGTGATCAGATCCATTGAGGGGGCTTGCAGATTTCCTGCAACTAACGGTTTAACCTACAGTGCTACTGCAGCCCAATATAGAGCTCTGGCTACTGTCATCTCCCCTGGCTGGTATTTTGTTGGTTTCAGAGCAACAGATATTATATTTTTGGTCTACAGCTCCCTGAACCTCCTAGCAAAGATAGTCACAAACCATGTAATCCAAAATGTAACATTTGCAAGTTCTGGATTTATGTCTTTATTCTGCTAAATGTTGAGTGAAAACCATTTTTGTATTGTGTGTATGGATGTGTAGGTAGATTTAGACATAAAACTAAGCCTGTCATCTTTGTATGTGTCCCCTAGCTGCTGGAGATCATCCTGTTCTGCCTACTGCTGTACTTCTACAAAGAGAGGAAAGCTAATTATATAGTCGTGATTTTGTTGCTAGTTGCACTCCTGGGTAAGTTTGCCACGCACGCATGCCTAATCCAGATACAGTATGTTTCATATATGGTACTTGCTTTCTTTTCGAACACTTAACGTGTGTGTGAGAAAGAGTGCATATTTGTATGTTTTGTTTAAAAAGCAAGCCCAGTCAATATGAAACGCAATTGTGTGTTTCTTTCTCCCATGGTATTTGTTGTCTTCAAGAAAAAAAACACAATTTGGAGATTACAAATGTACAAAGATATTTATTTATCATGTCAGGAGCAACCAGACAGTTGTATTACATTTTTAACAGAACAAACAAACAGACAGACAAAACACAAAGTTTGCAAGCTTGGTAGTTGATTAAATGTCCTTTGACCAGTATCTGGCCACTTGGAGTGCTTCTGGTGTTGCTGCAAGTAGGTCCTCCATTGTGAATGTAGCAGGCCTCGGGTTGCATTGCAGGTTGTCAGTGGTTTGCTCTTCTCGACACTCGCATGTTGTGGATTCCAATTTGTAGCCCCATTTCTTAAGGTTGGCTCTGCATCTTGTGGTGCCAGAGTGCAGTCTGTTCAGCGCCTTCCAAGTCGCCCAGTTTTCTGTGTGCCCAGGGGGGAGTCTCTCATTTGGTATGAGCCATTGGTTGAGGTTCTGAGTTTGAGCCTGCCACTTTTGGACTCTTGCTTGCTGAGGTGTTCCAGCGAGTGTCTCTGTAGATCTTCGAAAACTATTTCCTGATTTAAGTCGTTGACGTGCTGGCTGATATCCAAACAGGGGATGAGCTGGAGATGTCACTGCCATGGTCCTTTCACTATTGGCTGCTACTTCCCGGCGGATGTCAGGTGGTGCAATACCAGCTAGACAGTGTAATTTCCCCAGTGGTGTAGGGCGCAGACACCCCGTAATAATGCGGCATGTCTCATTAAGAGCCACATCCACTGATTTAGCGTGGTGAGATGTGTTCCACACTGGGTGTGCATACTCAGCAGCAGAGTAGCATAGCACAAGGACAGATGTCTTCACTGTGTCTGGTTGTGATCCCCAGGTTGTTCCAATCAGCTTTCATATGATATTGTTTCTAGCACTCACTTTTTTCTTGATGTACAAAGATTGAAAAATAGGAAGGGACTGGCCATCCAGGGAAAGCTTTCAGTACTGGATTGCAACTCCCCAGTTCCCCAGCCCTGTTTTAGACACAGCCATCAGTATGCCTGGTTTTTACAAATAAACCTAAGAGGGGAGTAAGGATGTGTCCCTTTGACAATGAGATTGCAATGTAAATCTTGTTTCTGTTGTGTGGAGCAGTGCAATTTCTGCCTTGCTTGCAATGCAGTTTTCTTGTTCTCCAGCAATAGCAAGGATGTTGTTTCAAATATTTTCAGGTTCCATGACTGTCATAACAGTGAAGGCTGTGGCTGGCATGATCGTGGTTTCGATTCGGGGGGATTTGCAGCTGGGCTACCCTATTTTCTACATCATGGTGGTTTGTATGGTGGCGACGGCAGCCTTTCAGGCAACGTAAGTGAGCCTTGGCAAGATTCCTTCCTTCCTGCTAAAACTGCTTTCAGTTCCAGCTCACTGTTGAATGTCAGCATAATTGAAATTTAATTAAAACAAATGATACATTTTTCAAGACAGCCCCAAGGGGAAAGCTAGGTAATTGTGTTTTTGTTATTACTGACAGTTGGCAGAACATGAGCCTTTTAGGCAAAGGTAAAGGTTTCCCCTTGACATTAAGTCTAATCATGTCTAACTCTGGGAGGTGGTGCTCATCTCCATTTCTAAGCTGAAGAGCCGGCATTGTCCATAGACACCTCCTAGATTATTTGGCCGGCATGACTGCATGGAGCACTTTTACCTTCCCGCAGAAGCGGTACCTATTGATCTACTCACATTTGCATGTTTTTGAACTGTTAGGATGGCAGAAGCCAGGTCAGAGAGTTTCAGAAAAACATCTATTTCTGTTTTATTGACTATTCTAAGGCCTTTGATTGTGCGGGGCTTGATGAATCTAAAGCTGGAGTTAAAATTGTTGGAAGAAACATTAACAACCTTAGATATACAGATGATACTACTTTGATGGCTGAAAGTGAGGAGGAGCCTGATCACCAAGGTAAAAGAAGAAAATGCAAAAGCTGGGTTACAGTTAAACATAAAAAAACCAAAATTATGGCAGCCGGACTGATTGATAACTGGCAAATAGAGGGAGTAAATGTGGAGGCAGTGACAGACTTCGCATTTCTCGACGCAAAGATTACTGCAGACGCAGACTGCAGCCAGGAGGAGCTTACTTCTTGGGAGGAGAACAATGACCGATCTCGATAAAATAGTGAAGAGTAGAGACATCACATTGGCAACAAAGATCTGCATAGTTAAAGCAATGATATTCCCCATAGTCACCAATGGATGCGAGAGCTGGACAATAAGGAAGGATGAGCAAAGGAAGATAGATGCTTTTGAACTGTGATGCAGGAGGAAAATTCTGAGAGTGCCTTGGACTGCAAGAAGATCTAACCAGTCCATAATTCAGGAAATAAAGCCCGACTGCTCATTGGAGGGAAGGATATTAGAGGCAAAGATGAAGTACTTTGGTCACATAATGAGAAGACAGGAAAGCTTGCAGTAGAGAATGATGCTGGGGAGAATTGAAGGAAAAAAGAAGAGAGGCCGAACAAGGGCAAGATGGATGGATGAAGTGACTGGCTTGACCTTGAAGGAGCTGGGGGCAGCCACAGCCCACAGGGAGCTCTGGCCTGGGCTGGGCTATGAGTCAGAAGGGACTGAACGAATAAACAACAACAATAGATGGAGTCAAATGCAATCTGGTACTGAAGCTCTCAATAGTAGCAGCAAAGCTTGGGGAATCTGGGCAAATACCATGCTGCCTGAAGGATTCTGGGAGTTGGTACTCCTGAAAAGAGTAATCATTCCAACCTTTGAATAGCAGCCAATCTGATACCTCTTGGAAAGCTTGCCTGCAGGGCATGATGATAGTGATAGTTATGCCCCTGTGGCTTTTCTATTAGCAGCTGTTAATCTGGGAGGCGATGCATTTAGACCTTGAGGCTCAGCTTTAAGTCACCATAATTGGTGCCTCTAGGTTTGTTTTATCTACTAGGAAAGAGTGAGGCATTTGAGGATTCTTAGTTCAGAAGGAAAGGTGAAACACAAAGAAAGGGGGAAATAGCAGACCAGGGGAGAGCAGGCTTTAGGGCTGGGACTAGGATATGAGTTCAGGGCTGGCATTTGCTTCGCCTTCTTGCCTCCCCCTCATACACTCTTTTTGGGAGGAAAAAAGAGTATAAGTCCCCACAAACACACATTATTTGAATCTCGCTTTCTGTTGAATTATACATTCACCCAGTTTGAATAAATCCTTTTTCTTTACTGCCCTGTCGGCCAACTCCCTTTGATCCCTTTTATATCATGCATAAGCAAGTTGAAATGTGTTTTGATTCTCTTTGTGTCTAAACCTCCAACCCACTTTCTTTGACAGTTTTCTGCAAGTGATGTAATTAAATAACACTATGTAACACAATGTTTGTTCCTGGGTTATCAATGTTATTTCCTAATTGGTTCTATCATTAATAATAATAATAATAACAACAACAATAATAATCTATATATATATATATATATATAAATGCTCTGTGCATAATGAGTACCTTAAAAACAAAAGAACCAATGAACAAAATAACACCAAATTTGGCAACAAAACCTCTTACAACACAAGGAGTGACCATCACTCAAAAAAATTATGATTTTGTCATTTGGGAGTTGTAGTTGCTGGGATTTATAGTTCACCCACAATCAAAGAGCATTATGAATCCCACAAACGACAGAATTGGGGCAAACTTCCCACACAGAACCCCCACAACCAACAGAAAACACTTAAGGCCATCCAGTCCAACTCCCTTCACCAGGGCAAGAAAACGTAATCAAAGCCCTCCTGACAAAGTGCTATCCAGCCATAGATATAGATAGATAGATATGATTCGCACACACACACACAGATATAGTATCATAGATTTGAAAGGAACCCCTAAAGAAGGACAATGATATGTTGCATGTTCCAAAGTAGGCAAACCAGATAATCACCACATTAACACTGACAAAGAAACAGCAAGAAATAGTGTTTACCCACAAGCATAAAGACATTACATATATTAGAAACCAACACTTTCTAATTACTTTATTTTCCAAATCAACAGAATGGGCCACAGCAACGCGTGGCAGGGGACTGCTTGTAATAATATAAAAACGTAAGGAGCCCCCCATGGTGCAGTGAGCTGAGCTGCTGAACTTGCTGACCGAAAGGTTGCCAGGTTGAATCCAGGGAACGGGGTGAGCGCCTGCTGTTAGCTCCAGCTTCTGCCAACCTAACAGTTCAAAAACATGCAGATGTGAGTAGATCAATAGGTACCACTATGTCGGGAAGGTAATGTCGTCCATGCAGTCATCCTGCCAAATGACCTTGGAGGTGTCTACGGACAATATTATTATTATTTATTATTTATTTCACAGTTTTGTATACCGAGCTTCTCAACCTCGGTGAGGGACTCAGCCCGGTTTACAGCCATAAAAACATATACATTCATTAAAATATCATATATCACAAATTACACATCAACTTTAAAATACACTAAATATAAAACTACAGTGGTCAGTCGTCCTATTAAGATGGATCTATATCCACTTCCATCCAGAGTCCTATGGTGTTGTCTCATTCCTCGAAGGCCTGACTCCACAGCCACGTCTTCACCCGTTTCCTAAATGTTAGGATGGATGGGGCGGTTCTGGCCTCCAGAGGCCAGCTCTTTGGCTTAGAAATGGAGATGAGCACCACCTCCCAGAGTCGGACACTACTAGACTTAATGTCAGGGGAAAACCTTTACCTTTACCTAAGAACACTTTATTTCTATTCTGCCCTTTTCCCTGAGGGAACTCAGAGCGGATTACAGTATATATAAACAGACAGGCAAACATTCAATGCCTTGTTACAATGAAATACAGTGCTACAAATGCACAAAGGCAAAGGCTTCTCCTTTCATTTCCGGTTTTGGGGGAGGTGCTCATTTCCATTTCCAAGCCGAGGAGCCTGTGTTGTCCATAGACACTGCCTGGTCGTGTGGCCAGCATGACTACATGGAGTGTCTTTTTGCCCTGCCCGCCAAGGTGGTACCTATTGATCTACTCACATTTGAATGTTTTCGAACTGCTAGGCTGGCAGGAGCTGGGGCTAATTTAGTATTATTATTATTTCACAGTTTTCTATACCGAGCTTCTCAACCTCATTGAGGGACTCAGCCCGGTTTCCAGCCATAAAAAAAACATATACACTCATTAAAATATGTATCACAATTATAAAAACAACTTTAAAAACACTATATATAAAACTACAGTGGTCAGTCGTCCTATTAAGATGGATCTACATCAACTTCCATCCAGGGTCCTATGCTGTTGTCTCATTCATCGAAAGCCTGACTCCACAGCCACGTCTTCACCCGTTTCCTAAATGTTAGGATGGATGGGGCGGTTCTGGCCTCCAGAGGGAGAGAGTTCCAGAGTTGCGGGGCCACCACCGAGAAGGCCCTGTCCCTCGTCCCCACCAGGCGCGCTTGCGAGGCCGGTGGGACCGAGAGCAGGGCCTCTCCAGATGATCTTAATAATCTTGATGGTTCGTAGGGGAGAATACGTTCGGAGAGGTAAACAGGGCCGGAGTCGTTTAGGGCTTTATAGGTCAACACCAGCACTTTGAATTGTGCTCGGAAGCTAATTGGCAGCCAGTGGAGCTGGCGTAACAGCGGAGTGGTGTGCTCCCTAACAGTGGGAGCTCACCCCATCCGGTGGATTTGAACTGCCAACCTTCAGGTCAGCAGTTCAGCAGCACAAGGGTTAACCCATTGCTCCACCCACAGCCCCTTAAAACATGGGAAATGTTTATTAAACTGCAAAAAATGTTTTTATGGGAGGGACCTCCTGCAGCACATTTTTTTCAATGAATATCTCATCATCGAGTCTCAACCAATTCAAGCTAGTTTGTGGCTGCACTAAAACGAAGTTTCTGGAATAGAATAACTTTCAAAGTAAGGACTGCACGATTAAGCTGGAAATAACACTCAACAACAACAACAACAACAATAATCATAACTACTTTATTTATACCCCGCCACCATCTTTCCAAGAGGACTCGAGGTGGCTTACATGAGGCCAAGCCCAACAACACATCAATAAAACAACAAAGCAATAAGCAAATAAAACAATACAATTAATATAACTCACATATAGGCAAATAACACACAAAAATTTAAAACCTATGGCCGGGCCAGATGTAATAGATAAAAATTTTAAAATAAACACTGGGTGTGAACAGAGGTAGGATGTATCTAAGCAGGAGGGTTTTAAAGGATAGTGTAGAGAGATCAACCCAATGGGTAGATAAAGTGCTTCTGAGGATATTTTGCAGGGAATTCGTCAGAGTAGGGCATGTTTCCTTTATTCCGGGAAGGCACACTGGAACAGCCACATTTTCAGGCTCCTCCTAAAGACTGCCAACCAGGAACAGAACATTTTTCAAATTTTGTTACATAGTGTAATTGATAGTGCTCGGTGTTAATGTTATCAATGTGTGTTCCTAAAATACACTATTTTCTTTTTTGTAGGTTTTTAACCCAAGCATCACAATTGTACGACACATCACAGATTGCCAGTGTGGGTTACATCCTGTCTACCGCAATGGCAATAACTGCAGGTAACATCTATATCTATATCTATATATATAATAAAGAAGAGTGTTTGTATCGGACAGAGGAAGGGCGGTGTATGTGGCAGCGTTCTGATTGGCTGCCGCTGTGGTGCTATTTGCATATCGTCTCTGATTGGGCAGCTTCAATAGGAGCCCCTGGTGGAGAAGAGGGTTCATGGCAGAAACGGGGCATGACAGAAGGAAATTTGCATATGGTCTCTGATTGGCCAGCCTCAAATCCAAGATTCCGAGATGAGAAAGAGAGGAAAGGAAAGGCCGGGGCCTGGGTCAGAACACTCCCAATACAGACCGAAATAGGCACACAGAGCCCCCATCACCCACTCTACATCCTACTGCAGTTTGGAGGAGTATGAACCATGGATGATGGGACTTGCAGTACCACCACTCACATTCTGAGACCGCTGTTAACCTTATCCAATGACTGATCAGGACCAAACTTCGCACATAGACCTCTCATGACCCACTTTACGTCCTGGTGTGGTTTGGCCGGGGATGGACCGTGGATTATGGGACTTGCAGTACCATTGCTTCAGACCACTGCAACCCTCATCCAATTACCATTAAATACCAAACTTGGCACACTGAGTCTCCATGACGCACTCTACATCCAGGTGCAGTTTGAAGGAGGATGCACCATGGACGATGGGACTTGCAATACCTGCACTCCCTTCCAAGACCATTACAACTGCCAAAAATGATGGATCAGGACCACAATTTACACAGAGAGCCCGCATGACCCACTCTACACCCTGGTGTGGTTTGGAAGAATTTGACAATGGATGATGGGACTTGCAGTCACTTCACTCACTTCCTGAGACCACTGAGACCCTCGCCAATGACTCATCAAGACTAAACTTGACACATGGAGCTTCAATGACCCACTCTACATCCTGGAGCAGTTTGGAGGACGACAGACCATGGATGATGGGACTTCAAGTACCTCCACTACCCAAGACTGCTGCAAAACTCATCTAATGACCAATCAAGACCAAAGTTGGCACACAGAGCCCCCATGACTCACTCTACATCCTGCTGCAGTTTTGGAGAAGGGTGGACCATGGATGATGGAACTTCCAGTACCTTCACTCACATTCTGAGACCTCTGCAAACCTCATCCAATGACTGATCAAGACCAAACTTGGCACATAGACCACTCATGACCTACTTTATGTCCTGGTGTCGTTTGGAAAAATTTGGAGATGGATGATGGGTCTTGCAGTAACTTCACTCACTTTCTGAGACCACTGAGACCCTCGCCAATGACTGATCAAGACCAAACTTGGCACACAGAGTCCCAATGACCCACTCTACATCCTGGTGCACTTTCAAGGAGGACAGACCATGGATGATGGGACTTCAAGTACCTCCACTCCCTTCCCAAGACTGCTGCAACCCTCATCTAATGACCGATCAAGACCAAACTTGGCACAGAGCCCCCATGACCCACTCTATATCCTGTTGCAGTTTGGAGGAGGGTGGACCATGGATGATGGGACTTGCAGTACCTTCACTCAATTATTGAAACCACTGCGACCCTCATCCAATGACTGATCAAGACCAAACTTGGCACACAGAGCCCCCATGACCCACTCTATATGCTGCTGCTGTTTGTAGGAGGATGGCCCATGGATGATGGGACTTCAAGTACCTTCACTCACTTCCTGAAAATAATGCAGCCGTTATAAAGACCAAACTTGCCATACAGAACCACCATTACCCACTTTCTCTAATAACCCGGGCAACGCCGGGTCCCCAAGCTAGTACATAATAAAACTGAAAATATGTATGTGTGTGGTTGTCTGGGGTGCCCGCTTTCACACACAGGTTCCTGCTTCCACAAACAGCTCTAATCCAGAGCGCTGAAGAGCCACCAAAGGCCCTTCCTTCAATGCCATTTCAGGTTATACCGAGCGCCATTAACATGTAGCCCATCCCCTGCCAGTGTCCTTCCCAAATACTACACAAAGAATGCTTTCATTCAGAGAGAAGTTCATCCTAGATTTTACGTGTTTCCTCCACCACAGACATCCCAGTGTTTTTTACTCTCTCCATTGGTGTGGAATTTGCATGATCCCACCCACTGCCTCTCTTTTAACCTTTTCCTACTCTTTTTAACTCTGTCTGCACAACAAATAGTGCAGAACTAATCAGCAACTTAACATACTGGAGGAGTTTGGGGGATTGCCTCCACATGATGGAAGTTGTAGTTCACACTGCATCAAATCAGAACACTGTGACCCCCACTGACAATGGACCTGGACCACATTTGGCACACAGAACCCAAATGACCAACAAAAAATACAGGAGGGCTTTGGGGAAAATTCACCTTGATTTAGAGGAATTTTAATTAACCTATATCCAGAGAGCACTGTGAACGCAAACAACGATGGATCTGCATATACCTAATATACCAAAATCTGAATACTGGTGGGTTTGGGATGGAATTGGCCTTGACATTTTTTAGTTGTAGGTACTGGGATTTATAGTTCACCTGCAATCAAAGAGCACTCCGAACCCCACCGATAATGGAGGGATTTGACGGGACTGACACACCACGGTTGGAGTTGTAATGCATCCTGCAGCTGGAGAGCATGTCTCTAGAGAAAACTTGCCAAACAAACTTTAAGTATTGATGGAGTTTCAGGGAATGAATCCGGCACAATGTCAGTTGTAGTTCATCCACAACCTTCAAGGCATGGGGGTTCTGTGTGGAAAATTTGGCACAATTTTATCATTGGTGGGGTTCAGAATGTTCTTTGATTTTATGTGAACTATAAATCCCAGCAACTACAACTCCTAAATGTCAAGCTCTATATTCCCCAAACTCCACCGGTTTTCACATTTGGGCATATTGAGTATTCGTGCCAAGTTTGGTCCAGATTCATCATTGTTTGAGTCCACAGTGCTCTCTGGATGTAGGTGAACTACAACTCCAAAACTCAAGGTCAATGCCCACCAAACACTTCTAGTATTTTCTGTTGGCCATGGGAGTTGGGCAAGTTTGGTTCAATTCCATCAGTGGTGGAGTTCAGAATGCTCTTTGATTGTAGGTGAACTATAAATCCCAGCAACTACAACTCCCAAATGAGAAAATCAATTCCCCCTCGACCCTACTAGTTTTCAAATTTGGGCATATCAGGTATTTGTGCCAAATTTGGTACAGTGAATGAAAATACATCTTGCATATCAGATATTTACATTACGATTCATAACAGCAGCAACATTACAGTTATTACGTAGCAACAAAAATAATTTTATGTTTATGGGTCACCACAATGTGAAGAACTGTATTAAGGGGTCACGACATTAGGAAGGTTGAGTATCACTGCTTTAGAGAATGAGGAAAAAATATCACTCCTCTAGGTGTGATTTCCAGCCCCACAATAGTTCCAATGCTGTTCTTGCCCTATAAAAATAACAACATATTTTGTGACCTTTTGAGTTATGACATGCTTATGTTTTCGTACATACAGCATTTGCCTCCTTGGATCCTATCCCAGGAAAAATGTGGGGTATAAATACAGTAAATAAGTAAATAAATATTCTAACACATCTATATAAATAAAAATGTAAAGTTCGTTTGTGATATTCACAGAACTCAAAAACCACTGGGGGAATTGACACCAAATTTGGACACAAGACACCTAAGAACCCAATGTATGTTCTTCACTCAAAAAAAATTGATTTTGTCATTTGGGAGTTGTAGTTGCTGGGATTTATAGTTCACCTACAATCAAAGAGCATTCTGAACCCCACCGACAATAGAATTGAACCAAACTTGGCACACAGTTCTCCCATGACCAACAGAAAATACTGGAAGGGTTTGCTGGGCAGTGTCCTTTGGTTTTGGAGTTGTAGTTCACCTACATCCAGAGATCACTGTGGACTCCAACAATGATGGATCTGGACCAAACTATAAACGAATACTCAATATGCCCAAATGTGAACACTGGTGGAGTTTGGGGAAAAATAGAATCTTGACATTTGGGAGTTGTAGTTGCTGGGATTAATAGTTCACCTACAATCACAGAGCATTCTCAACCCCACCAACGATAGAAATGGGCCAAACCTCCCACACAGTACCCCCATGTGGGCCACAGCAATGCGTGGCAGGGGATGGCTAGTATATAATAAAGTAATATATTATTATGTTTACAAGACTGGCCTAGCTTTTGGTGGAAAGACTGTGGCTTGGAGATACTTAATCGTTTGTTTCTATTTCTTCTCCCTTTTGGATCAGGTGCAACATTCTACTTGGACTTCCTTGGGGAAGACATACTCCATATTTGCATGTTTGCTTTGGGGTAAGTTTACAAAATTCTAGGCAATGCAGTGTACTAATTGCTTCTGTGGCCATGTTTATGCACGACTTGAAAATGTACACCCATTTATTACGCATCAACAGATAGAAGAGGCACCTCCAGTTTGTACTGACTGGTTCTTACAACCGTTGGGACCATAGGCTTATCAGAACGTTTTGGGGAGTGGGGGAGATTAAAATTGTAACTTCTGGAGTTCCACAGTTACTATGACCAGTGGCTGTGCTGGCTTAGGATTTTTGGGACTTCTCATCCCCCCAGAGCAACTTTAAAGTCCCTAAAGCAGCCCTCAACACCACTCCATGAGGTCAGGCTATTGCTGCTGCTTAGGTTCTGTTAACTATCAACCACTTCCTCTCCTCTCTGTGTTGTTTTAAAAACTAAAATATTTCTTTCATTCTTTTTGTTTCCCCTTCAGGTGCCTCATTGCATTCTTGGGTGTCTTTTTGATTACTAGAAACAAGAGGAAATCTATCTTTTTTGAACCTTACATTTCGATGGATGCTATGCCAAGTAAGGTTAAAAGTAATTTCTTTTCTTGTGAGCCGATCAACACTGCCTTTGATGATGATAACAACAACAACATCTTTATTTATAATCTGCCCTCTCTCCCCAAAGGGACTCAGGGTGGCTTACAAAGACAAAAACAAAATAAAGATAAATAGCAGTAAAAACAATTAAAACAAGCAAGTAAAAATCACAAATAACACAATTGTTAAAACAAGTAATAAGTTCTATAAATAACATGGTGAATTAATAGGATCAACATGAAAATTGGACAATAAAAATGTGGCTGTGCAATGAGTTAGAGCAGTGGTTCTCAGCCTTTCTAATGCCCTGACCCCTAACTATATCATGTTGTGGTGACCCCAACCATAAAGTTATTTTTGTTACTACTTCATAACTGTAATTTTGCCACTGTTATGAATCGTAATATAAAGATCCGATAAGCAGGATGTGTTTTCATTGTTACAAATTGAGCATACTTATAGCATGGCGATTAATCACAAAAACAATATGTTTGGGGGAGAATGGACAATAGATGATGGGATTTGCTGTACCTTCAGCCGATTCAGCTCTGACTTCCACAGACGACTGAGATCCCCACAAATTACAGACCTGGACCAAACTTGGCACACAGAACTCCCATGAAGATACTGGAGATGTTTGGGGAAAATAGACTGAGACATTTGTGAGTTGCTGTTGCTTGGATGTATAGTTCCCCTGCCATCAAAGAGCATTCTGAACCCCAACAACAATGGAATTGAACCAGACTTGGCATACAGAACTCCCATGACCAACAGAAAATACTGGATATGTTTGGGGAAAGTATACCTTGACATTTGGGAGTTGCAGTTGCTTGTAGCATTCTGGAGGGGTCTGGGCCTGGATCCCGTGGGGAGGCTTTTGGTAAGCGGTGAGAGCCAGGTGGTGGAGGCTCCTCCCAAGGTCTGGCCTCATGTGGAGCATCTCGCCTGGCTCTCACCACCATTGGCCCGGCAAGCGGTGAAAGCAAAGAGGGCCAGCAGCTATTCTGAGGTGGCGAAGGGGGCAGGACCAAAGGAAGCAGCCTTGCAACCCCTCCTAAATGGCCAGTTGACACCTCTGGGGGTCGCAGCCCGCAGGATGAGAACCGCTGAGTTAGAGCAATATGTTCTCAGTCAGCCTCATCAGGCAGAATAGAAGTGTAAGAAGTTAATCAAAGTTAATCATCCTCCTCTCCGAAGGCCAGTGTACAGAGGTGTGTTTTTAATTGCTTCTTGGAGAGGAGTGAGAAAGCTGTTCTTACTTCCAGAGGAAATTCTCTGCTGACACGTCTTTTTCATTTGACTCCAAGGACACGCCTTCATGATATACAGCCAAGTTGTCAAAGGCTACTGATAGAGGCTCATTAGCTTTATCATGAAGAGTTAAAGGAATAGCATTGTTGTTAGTAGTACTTTCAAATAGGCATTTAAGTCCGATATACTTACAGTTCCCTCCCCAAAGAGTTCATCAATTTTCAGTTGTTTAGAAACCTTATGGTGTGTTGTTGACTCGGGGCTAGTCCTATTGCATATTCTGTTCCCCATTTCTTCCCTCCCTCCATGGTTTCAGAGCATATTCAGTTCTCGCTGTAAAACCAAGCTCTAAAGTCCGTGGTAGCGAGGGCCTTACCTTACTATACTTCCAGAGGGAGGGGTGGTCACTGACAAGGCCCCCTTTCTCGTTCCCACCAGCCATGCTTGAGTCAGGGTGAGACCGAGAGCAGGGCCCCTGCCGATGACTGCAGTGTCCGCATAGGTTTATATGCAGAGGTAGTTCGTTAAGTAGCCTGGACCTGAACCATTTGGGGCTTTATAGATAACTAGCCATCCCCTGCCACGCGTTGCTGTGGCCCAGTCTCGTGAGCTGGAAAATAAAGTAATAAGAAAGTGTTGGTTTCTAATATATGTAATGTCTTTACGCTTGTGGGTAAACAGTATTTCTTGTCGTTTCTTTGTCAGTGTTGGAGATTGTCTGGTTTGCCTACTCTGGAACATGCACATATCATTGTCCTTCTTCAGGGATCCCTTTCAAATCTATGATACTGCATCTGTCATATACGTGTGTGTGTGTGTGTGTGTGTGTTTGTGAATGGCTGGATGGCCCTTTGTCAGGAGGTCTATGATTATGTTTTCTTGCCCTGGTCAAAGGAGTTGGAATGGATGGCCTTAAGGCAGCATTTCTCAACCTGGGAAGTCAAGACCCCAGAGGGGGGTCACCAGGGGGGTGTCATAAGGGTAGCCAAAGACCACCAGAAAACACAGTATTTTCTGTACTGTGTGGGAAGTTTGCCCCAATTCTGTCGTTCGTGGGGTTCAAAATGCTCCTTGATTGCAGGTGAACTATAAATCCCAGTAACTACAACTCCCAAATGTCAAGGTCTATTTCCCCCAGATGCCATCTGTGTTCAAATTTGGACATTTTGGGTATCAGTGCCAAGCTTGGTCCAGATCTATCATTGTTTGAGTCCACAGTGCTCTCTGGATGTAGGTGAACTACAACTCCCAAACTCAAGGTCAATGCCCACCAAACCCTTCTAGTGTTTTCTGTTGGTCAGGGGAGTCCTATATGCCACGTTTGGTTCAATTCCATCATTGGTGGAGTTCAAAATGCTCTTTGATTATAGGTGAACTATAAATCCCAGCAACTTCAACTCCCAAATGACAAAATCATAATTTTTTAAGTGATGGTCACTCCTTGTGTAGTGAGACGTTTTGTTGCCAAATTTGGTGTGATTTCGTTCATTGGTTCTTTTGTTTTTAAGGTACTCATTATGCACAGAGCATTTTTATATATATAGATAACCAGCGCTTTGTATTTAGCCCGGAAGCAGATCGGTAGTCAGTGGAGTTGCCGTAACATGGGGGTTATCCACTTCCTGTATGGTGCTTCAATTAGCAACCTGGCTAACAGTCTTTGGACCATTTGAAGCTTCTGAACTATTTTCAAAGGCAGTCTCACATAGAGGGTGTTGCAGTGGTCCAGATGGGATATAACTAGGGTGTGGACTACCATGGCCAGATCTGGCATCTCAAGGCATAGGAGAAGCTGGCACACAAGTTTTAACTGTGCGAAGGTGCTCCTGGCTGCTGCCGACACCTGGGGTTCGATGGTTAGCTGCGAATCCAGGATCACCCCCAGGCTGTGGACCTGTGTCTTCAGGGGGAGTGTAACCCCATCCAACACAGGCTGTAACCCTATACCCTGTTCTGCCTTCCAACTGTAGGTGAATGGAGGGGTTTGAAACAGGGGCAACAGCGGGTTAAGCATGCAAATGTGAGTAGATCAATAGGTACCGCTTTTGCGGAAAGGTAATGGCACTCCATGCAGTCATGCCAGCCACATGACCTTGGAGGTGTCTACAGACAATGCCGGCTCTTAGAAATGGAGATGAGCACAACACCCCAGAGTCAGACACGACTGGACTTAATGTCAGGGGAAAACCTTTACCTTTACTATCAGGTATTTACATTACGATTAATAACAGTAGCAAAATTATAGTTATGAAATAGCAACAAAAATAATTTTATGGTTGGGGGGTCACCACAACATGAGGAACTGTATTAAGGGGTCGCGGCATTAGGAAGGTTGAGAACCACTGCTTTAGTACAAAAAGGCAGTGTTAGGGGTAGATAAAACAGTTCTTGTATCCTCTTCCCTTGTTTTACAGTCCTGTCTCTGTTTTCCTCTCCTTTGCAGGCATGCAGAATTTGCACGACAATGGAACAGCAGTCCAGCCTGACCTCAAGACCTCTTTTTCCTATGGCGCCCTGGAGAGCAATGACACCATCTCGGAGATCTATGCTCCTGCCACGCTAACAGTGGTCCAAGAGGAACACGGCTCCAAAGCAGCTCCGTACAGAGCCGTGGAGCACAGCAAAAGGGAGTGACTGCCCTGAAGGACTGGGCATAATGTGCTTCCATGCATGTGGTCCATCATATTTATTTATTTATTTCTCTCTCTTTCTATTTTTTTCTCTAACTCCACGGAAACACAACATTCACCTGATGGGTGGGGAAAATCGAATACTAATCGTAGCTTTAAAAAGCCAAGTTGTATTTGATTAACTGTGTACCGAAAGCGAAGCTGAACTGTTTTAGGATCCATACAGCCTCATCAAATGAAATACAGAAGGGATTATATGGCCTATAGTATTAAATAACAGACACCAAAGATGGAGTTTAGCCCAGGGATGGGCAAACTTAAGCCCTCTAGGTGTTTCGGACTTCAACTCCCATAATTCCTAATAGCCTCGGGTCCCTTCCTTTTCCCCCTCAGCCACTTAAGCAGAAAAGGAAAGAGAAAAGGAAAAGGAAGGGGACTGAGGCTGTGAGGAATTGTGGGAGTTGAAGTCCAAAACACTTGGAGGGCCCAAGTTTGCCCATGCCTGATCAACATGATCTTTGGTTACAGTCCAGCCCTTTGGAGTCAGTGCAGATGGCACATCACAAGGGGTCCATCTTGTACCAGCATTTTTTGAGATTCTGGATTGTAAACACATTATGAAATAAGAAAAACACGATCCCAGGGATTTCCACCTTTCAGTGGGATTTTTCATAATGGTTATTTGTTTGCACTTTAAAGCATCCTTTCTTTCTGCGAATGTTGCACTGTGATCGTATTCCCAGTAAGATTTCATTCTTATGTGTCTTAAATCCTATTAGTTCATCACATTGAAGCAGGGAAGTGTTTGGTAGAGTAGTACTCTGTTTAGAAATGAAATGGGTGTTTTTCCCACCTTCCTCACATTGTTAAATCTATCCGTGTGACTCAGTTGTACTCAGGATTCTTCAGGTAATTTGCCATCACACTGTAATCTCTAGGCTCTGCCCACCATTCCTCCCTGTGTCCTTTGTGGGGGGAAAAACTCTCCTCGGCTATTACGTATCTTCAATTCCCTGAGCTTTCAGCCTACAGTATTCAAAGTAAGGTCCAGCTGCATTCATTCTGCAATGTAGATGCACCCAAAGAAGGGTATGGACCTTGGGAAACTATAAATTCCAGGAGGACTCCATCTCATGGAGCCATGGCATTTAAAGTGGGGTGCAAGGGCATTCATTCCATACTGTAAATGCACTAAGAGAAGGGTATGGATCTTGGGAAACTATAACTCCCAGGAGGACTCCATTGCATGAAGCCATGGCATTCAAAGTAGGGTACAAGGGCACTCATTCCATACCGTAAATGCACCAAGAGAAGGGTGTGAACCATGGGAAACTATAACTCCATGACTGCATAGTATGGAGCTATGTTATTTAAGTGGGTCCCAACTGCTTTTATTCTACAGTGCAGATTGGCATCCTTCTCACCGGGCTTTCCCATGCAACAAAAGGCACAGACATATCACAGAAGGAGGGGAAAGGAAAGAATCCGGAAAGACTATTTTTTAAAAAGCAATTGTTTTGGTAAAGTAAAAAATCGGTGAGCAAAAGGTGATGGTGGAACTTTCCCTAACAAGGGGACTTTTGGCTCCTCCCACAATTTCCCCTCCCACAAATTGGGGAAACATTTCATTTTAAACCTGAGAGCAACAAATGCCATCACATTGCAGAACTGTATATTTCGCCCATCTACATCCAGATTATTACAAAAAATCCACTTCCCCGCCACATCCTGAAATGTTTGAAAAGAATGCTGGCCCCCACACTTAAAATATGGAAGGAATGCTCTGCCCTACACTTGGACGCAAGCTAGTGTGATGAACACAGTGGGTCACCACATTTTAAGTGTAGCACTCAGTAGAATTTAGTAAGTGTGATGAAGTGGCTAATCTACATATTCAGTAGGATGAGGTGAAAGGACTAGACTTCTGTGGTGTAGATAAGAGTTTGCATTTTCAAGATTCCCCGTAGAAAAGAATTCCCTGCAAACAGAAAAATTAGCACAGCAGGCGGTGAATAGCATAGGCCTTAATCCCTGAATTGTGATTTATTGGTTTGTCTTCCTTTTTATGGAGAATACAGGAGTGCTTTCCTGTGTCTTCAGTCTGAAGCATTAAGACTCCCGTTTATTATCTCCATGTACTTCATATGTAGATAAAACCAAACTGGTTCAGACAGAAGAGTTAAGTTAATAGTAGGTTGTTTTTATGCATACCTGCGGAGCCCCCGGTGGCGTAGTGGGTTAAACCCCTGTGCTGGCAGGACTGAAGACCGACAGGTCACAGGTTCAAATCCGGGGAGAGGCGGATGAGCTCCCTCTATCAGCTCCAGCTCTTCTTGCGGGGACATGAGAGAAGCCTCCCACAAGGATGATAAAAATATCAAATCATCCAGGCATCCCCTTGGCAACGTCCTTGCAGACGGCCAGTTCTCTCACACCAGAAGCGACTTGCTCCTGACACAACAAAAAAAATGCATACCTGCACCACACTGCTACTTGCTTTGACTCTTAGGGGAGAAATAATGCTTATTTTATTTTATTTTGGTCTTCCTAGCAATAAATGCATTATACAATATTAGCAGGATTAGGTTATTACAGGTTGAGCCTCCCTTATCCAGAATTCTAAAATCCAAAATACTCCAAAACCCCAAATTATTGTCATGGGTGGCTAAGATAATAATGATATCTTTGCTTTCTGAAGATTTGATGTGCATACATTTTGTTCCATGCAAAATAAATAAATAAAATATTGTGTATACAATCAAATGTTGTATATACAAATATTGTGAGTCCCTTTTGAGGTGAGAAGAGGGGCATATAAATGTTGTAAATAAATAAATTGCCTTCAGACTATGTGCTATATAATAATAATGACAATAACAACAGCAGCAATATATTTATACGCCACCCTGTCTCCCCAAAGGGACTCAGGGCAGTTTCCGACATATAAGGCAAACATTAAATGCCAAAAAGTAAAAAGATTCAGACAAATTACATCAGGACAAATCATATTAAACAATATAACAACAACATGACTCTAAACTTAAGAACAGACCAAATAACCAACAGAAAGGACTTAAATGATCTGTATGAATATAATAATTAATGTAAATTTTGACATTAAATAAAAGCAATTAATCACAATGGATAAAAACGTTATAAAAAGATATGTTATGCAACAACCAGCGGGCTGAGGTTAGTTCCAGTCTCAAGACAGTACAAAGGTGGGTTTTCGGCAGTTTTTTAAAAGCAAGGAGAGAGGGAGCCATTTTCAATTATTTTGGGAGGGAGTTCCAGAGGCGGGGAGTAATCACAGAGAAGGCCCTATTTCTCGTTCCAACCAGATGGGGGTGGGACTGAGAGCAGGACCTCCTCCTCTCCGGCTTGTATACGGAGATGGAATTCTGCAAATAGTCTGGGCCTGAACCGTTTAGGGCTTTATATGTAACAACCAGTGCGGAAGCAGATCAGCAGCCAGTGGAGTTGCTGCAGCATGGAAATCGTCCTCTCGCGGTACAGCGCTCTGGTTAGCAATCTGGCCATTGATCCCTGCACTAATTGCAGGTTCCAAACCATCTTCAAAGGCAGCCCCATGTTGAGAGCATTGCAGTAGTCCAGATGGGAAGTAACCAGGGCATATATAAGGGATATATTAAACAAATGCACATTGTTTTCAGGCTTGGGTCTCATAGCCAAGAAATCTCATGATATACATACAGGTACTCCATAAGTCCAACAACTCCAAATCGGAAACATTTCTGGCCCCAGGCATTTCAGTAAGAGATAGCTCAACCTGTAAGCCATGTTCCTGTTTCTTTAGGAAAATGAATATTACTAAGTAACTTGTGAATATTTACTGGGCACAGTCATCTCAACTCCCATACAGTTTGTTTTATTCATTTGTGAACTATGCAAAGCATTTTGCTCATTAAAAAGCTACTTAGCAGGGGAGATTGGAGTAGGGGGGAGGCCAAAAGGCATTTGAATCTCCTTGTTACCTTTTGATGATTAATGCAAGTTGTTTTCTAATGGCATGAATGCAGTGCTGCATAACCACTAAACAGCATGTCTTACCATTTATTTAAATGGTTTCTTAAAACGGTATTTCATAGCAACAGTTTATCTGTATGTAATAGTCATAATCATCATCATCATCATCATCATCACCATCTTTATTTGTACCCTGCCACCATCTCCGCGAAGGGACTCGGGGCGGCTCACAGAAGCACTTCAAGTGCCACATACAGACAACAATACATAAGTATAAATACAACAACATAAGTGTAATCAACAGCACATAAACATCTCACTGATAAAATTATAAAAATATGAAAATTATAAAATTCCTAAAACACAGTGGAACCTGCCAGCCTATCATATCTATCATAACAATCAATCACAGAGAAGGCCCCGTCTTAAAATGTTTTTATCAATGATTCATCACTCTGGATTACTCAGGTTCAAAGGCCTGTCTGAAGAGCCATGTTCTTAGACTCACCCAGAAGGCCTGAAGAGAGAAGGCTAATCTAATTTCTTTAGGGAGGTATTCCAGAGTTGGGAGCCACCACTAAGAAGGCCCTCTCTCATTCTTGAGATGGTGGTGGGACCGAAAGAAGGGCCTCCCCAGCCTGTGCCAGTTCGTAGAAGGAGATGCGGTCAAAGATAGGTTCAACCCAAAGTCTATAGGGCCTTATAGGTAATCACCTGCACTTTGAATTGGGCCCGGAAACTTATAGCCAGTGGAGCTGCTTTAAAAGGGGGGTGGTATGCTTCCTAAAGCTTGCCCCAGTTAATAATTTGACTGTCACTCTTTGTACTAGCTGCAGTTTCTGAGTTGTCTTCAAAGGCAGCCCCACGTAGAGTGCATTAATAGTTCATTCTGGATGTAACTAAGGCCATCATGGCCAAGTCATATGCTCTTGTAATGGCATAATGGATGCCTTTGGACCAATTATTCCCAACCTTTAGTCCTCCAGGTGGTTTAGACTTCAGTTCCCACAATTCCTAACAGCTGGTAGGCTGAAGTTTGCCCATGCCTGGTCTAACAAGACCTTCAACTCAGATGTAAAC